AAATGAAAATATTGAACTTGAAATTTTGAATTTAATAATTTAAATGCATCCGTAACACCTTTAACGATATCGACTTAACAATTCGCAGTCGGTTTTCCATTAACTGTACTCATATTGACAATGAAATTGACGTCAAAAATGCTCAAAACTCAARTGGAAYYACGAGGCACGAGCGTAAGCGAGWTTTGAGTTTTGAGCATTTTTGACGTCAATTTCATTGTCAATATGAGTACGGACAATCAAAACTTCTTAGTTTGAAGTGATGATACTTTCACTTTGAATGCTGACCGTTAAAATTTATATTTTGAGTTCTTACTTGTTGTAGTGTCTTCCGTGCATCGATATTTTACGAAGGATAAAGTTTATATGAATCGATGAGCATTAAATACCGATCGACAAAGGATTGGAATAATCCTTGAAATCATCGTAATAGAATGCTGTATCTATGAGCCATATCGACACGATATCTCCTAAAACGACTTCTGAAATCAACAGATTAATTGGTAAGAAGCTTATACAAGAACGTCCAGAACTCAAAAATCCCATTTTGTGTGTTTAAAAAGCCATTTCTGTATCGAAACACCTGGCCATCTTGGTTTCGTACTTCTAATGCCCGTATGTTTACAGAAAAAATAAGTGACCTATTAACTAGTCCACCTCACCTCACACACCATCATCTATCTCCCTCCTATAACTCTTCGATTGCTTCGCAATCTTCGAGTTAAAAATGAATAGATTTTTCGAGACTTGCCAAAAATTTTCAATTTCGTTTGCTTTTTTCGGCGAAGCGGCTAACTAGCAACTATTGATGCAAGGAAGTGGCTTGCATTTACAACGCGTAAAGTGGCATTGAAGAGAGAATAAAATGTAAAATAATAATATTCCCATTTACCTGGTATACTATTCTTTATAACAGTCAACCTTCTTCACGTAAGGTATATAGAACTCTGCTTTATGGTGTGTGGCTAGTGTTTGTTGTATGCAGTACTTGCGCAGTCGCAGATGACTCATGCTTAATGATTGAAAGAAATGAAGGTTGTTTGTAGTGATCAATGTCATCGATAACTATTCCTTGAATTTATTATTCAGTTGCTAGTAGTGTCTCTTCGTATCGAAAATAATTCCTTTGAATGTATCAGTTGCTTGAGTTCAATCAGGTGCAGTCCCGTAGGCTTGGGGGKTTCGGGGGGTTCGGTTCAAGCATAAAAGGTCCGGTGTAAAATTCTTTTGTTATGAACTGTTTTTGAACTGTTTTTGTTTTTGTAAATTGTTATGAACTGCTCATACTAGCAGCCAGTTTTTACACACTATACAGTGCATTGAACTAATTTAGACAAACATTTAATTTAGGTCCGCATTATGAAAAAAACAACTCCCCCCTCCCTTCCCCCCATTTAGAGAGCGTGTTGTATCGGGTGATAAAGATCCGAGACGAAGGCGAGGATCTTTAGCCCCGATACAACACGCTCTCGAGTTCTGTATATGGCTTATCAAACTTTTATGCTGCATTTCATCGATTAAAATTATCACAGTATGTCGCCGTTATTAAATATTCGTCAAATATAACTGTTTGTATGCCGCCATTGTTTCATGAAACGACTGAACTATCAAGGGAATTTCTAAATGATTAATTGAAAGTGGAATTGTCACATTAGAAGCTTTTTATACTTACTCCTGAAAATTGTTTATTTTCTATTGTTTTTTAAAGAATGTGCTTTCCAAACTATAGAAAATTAGAATTGTCAAAGGAATTGCAAGATATTAGGCATTCATAGTTAGCAAAAATTAAATCAGTTGGATTTCATTTCTCCCTCGAAGACATGTCGAGTCGATTTAGGAGACCTAAAACTCAACATAAAGGAAAGCGCTATTGTTCGGGGGAGTGTTCCACAAAGTATTCAGCAAAATGGTCCGTAACCTTATTTTGCGACCGGCAAAAAGACCCTGCGAACAAGAAAGCCATTAATGGGAGCACCAGTTTCAGTTTCAAAAACAGCGAGTCATTCCAGGATGTGCTGACGCTGGTGGTCTTGATGACATGAACGCCGAGTCGTTGATTTTTTGGATGGTCAAATTCATACAAGACGAGGCGCCAAGAAAAACAACGAAGCTTATCCGACGTTCGAGTAAATCGCGTGGAAACGAAACGACATATCTACAATATTGATTTTTATCACTGATACAGAACTAATGTTTTATTAATTAGGTCTGTATCAGGAAAACGTTGAATGATAATCAGCCCCGCACTCCCCTGAAAATATTCAAAGCCGCCCCCAACTTTGAGCTTGCTGCACCTTTTATCTAATATAAAGAGCTTAAAAACAATTGTTCGATTACGGTTACGACAGTGGTAGGCAGTTGGACAGGCAGTTGTTGTAATTACGCGATAATTGCAGGCAAAAGTTGTACCGTCTAAATCGGCCTTTACGATTTCTCCACATTTTTCCTTTAAGATGTCTTCACGCTCTAATTAAAAAAAATCATTTGTTTATCTTTAGGTAGTCTCATTAACTTTCAAATCTCATTAGATCAGAAACAAAAGTAGACTTACTCTGCGATTGTTTCTTATATGCTCGTCAAACTTTGTGTCGGCGGGTTTGTTTGATGGAGGACCAGGGTAGGAATATCTTATTATAAAGTTCGCATATAGATTTGGAGAATCTCCCCCCTACCCTCATTAAAAAAAGGTGTGGTCAGCCCAACTTATAAAAACGCTGCGCCGCCCATGCGAAGTCGGCGGTTCTCTGCCGTAGAAACAACCTATCTGCTTTATTTATGAAAATTAGTCAACACTGAAAACAAATATTACATCAACAACAAAAAATACCATAAGTTTTCTTTGTTTATTGTTCGAAATTGATGACATGTTACAGATGAAATCCATCAACGGGATCTTTTTATCTTGTTTATGGAATGTTTGTTGGCATTTCTTCTCCTGTAAAGCAATTGAATAGATATGATCATTACTTTATCAAATAGTCCATGACAAGAGCAGTAAATCCCTACTATTGGTTCCTTGTGTTAGTATTATGCGCATTTGTTGTTATATCATTAACATCAAAGAGCCAAGCAGGTGCTTGGCTGGAGACTGTGGACCGAAAGGTTTAATGAAGTTATTCAATCGTCGGATAACGGTATCCACTTCTACGCCTGTAGTTCTAGTCCACTTTTCGGAAAATTTGTGCAATTCTTTGGTTCATTCCTAGGTTCATACCGTCTCCAAACTCCTGACACAGGAAGCCCAACCCTCCTTACATTCTTACGAAAACCTCCCAACAAAGCAAAAACGCAAGGAGCCTGCAGACTAGAGGTGGATAGCGCTATTCACCCTTGACTCGACAAAGTGGTTTTCTTCCTACCTTCTTTACAAACACCACACTTTAAAGGGCAATCCTTTCTCATACTGCTGAAACGCTTGCAAAAGAAGGCCGATGTTGTTTCACAAGTCCTTTTAAGATCTTCACAAGCTAAAAAAATAAGCATAATCCTTAATAAAACCCGGGGGGCGGGGGGGCACTCCCATATATTTGCTATACGGGGACGTGCCGCTGGTCAGGGTATGGTTTTTGGCATTGCTGTCTTAAACAGGGTATACATTTCACCCGAAATTGTCTTAAACAGGCTCGACAATTTAGATAAAAGACCGATATATTTTTTGTGTGTGTCTTAGATAGGGTAATATTTTGATAAGAAATACCGTAGAAATAATAAGATACCGTTTCACTGTCCCAGGATTAACGTGTTATCAAAAATTTCTTATTGTCTTTGATGGATGTCAGTATAATTGCACTTTTGATGGTTGCGACGTAGATAGCTATTCCTTATTTTTCCGATTTGTCTTGAACAGGGTATGGATTTTCACTTTCTGGTGTCTTAAACAGGGTCAGGGATTTAGACCGCTGGCGGCACGTACCTATCCAAAATGGGGTCGAGTACCCCCCCCCCCGGGAATAAAACGCAAATAAAATGGTTTAGTGCATATCTTTTTCTGCCCCTTGAATGAAGTAAATTCTTGTGACCGGTGCTTTGTGCTTTGTGCTCTGGTGCTTTGTTTTTTTATTTTTTTTATTTTTTTTTGTTTATAATGTGTCTCACTTGTGTTGCATATTGATTTTTTAGCTGCTGTTTTTTTTTGTTGCCTTCCCCCCCTGTTGAAAGAAAGAGTCCTTCAAGAGTCTGTTCAAATAAAATCAAAATACAGCGAACAATGAAACAAACTGTAAAGAGTTTTATTCCCCTATCAATGAAGCTAGTGTATGAAGAATCATGTTTCCGTGCTAACTTGTCAAAATAGCGACAGAAACTGCGTTAAAAGTATCATGACAAATTGACTTACGTTTGTAGCACACCCTGCAGGATCTAGCGCAATTCCTCTTTGAATCCACTTCATCGCACCTATATCTCCTTGCCATTTCCTCACAATCTTCTTTTGTTGACAGATCCTGACACTCTAAAACATTTGTTTATCACTCGTTAGCCTTATTAACTTCCAAATCTCATTAGATCAGAAACAAAAGAAATTAGGACAATCAGTATTGTGCGTGTGTTTTATGAGTATATCCCAAGATAAGGCTTTTCAATAGTAGGAATACGACACAAAACAAAACAGAACTCCTAAAAATGATTCTTTTCTTGCGGATGCGGATTATAGTTATGCTTTCTTTCCTTTTTTTTTCGTATCCAATAAACGAATTACAAATGCCATGGTTTCATGATAAAGGTCGTCATTTTCAGGCTCTTTTGTTTTTGTGTACCCCACAGTCCCCAAGGGAGACTAAAAAAATGCTTAAAATATACAATCTCTCGTAAGGCCGAATAAGACGCGGCACAACTTTTATTTCCAACCATCGCTTGCAACCTGCGTAAGTCACCCTTTCGTAGGGATTTAAAACAATTGCTTAATAGTCCCAAGACGGTTGTAAGCCATGTCGTAGGTCGCCATGCGATAGTTGTACGCAGAAGTCGTCTAATTTGTCCTATATGCTGCCGAGCTCCTCTACTATAAGTTATGAATATACTTCTAAGCACAATTCTACCTGTCTCGTCCAAAGCGTTGACACCATTCCTGAGGTCACGAAAGCCAGACTCAGCCATTGTACAAAGAACCAAGGCGCAAAGTACAACGAAACTTTTCATCATCTTTTTTGCCTGTGCATAATTACATGCGAAAAGATTTATAATAAGCTTGGAATATTTGACTGAATTTCTTCAGATACTTACACTTTCAGATTAAAATATCCGACATGAAGTAACTCCTACCTTTGCTATTATTGAAAGTTGTTCCTGCAAGCTCTACTGATATATCTGGTAAAATTAACTCACAAAAATGAATACATCATCATGTTCCGTAGCAAAATATCGATGGAATTCAGTTTAGCTTACACTACAGGCCTTAAATAGATATTCCTATCCAAGTTTCACCACCGCAAAACATCGTCTTGATAAGCTTCGCAGCGTGTTTCTGACTCGTCCTACTCGGTTGACAGGGGTGGTTTCTTTTAACTTGCTTTGTGTTCTCCAGGGMAAAGAAACCGTTCAAGCGTTAAAGCGTACCGATACGCTTTATATATGACCACGCTCTCGAGTGAAGCCCAATGACTGTTAGTTTACACCGTTATCGAGAGCAAAGGGACATTCATTAAAGCAAGAAGCATTTTTATTAGCACACTAATATCGCGAATAGAGCCAATCATGAAGATATATTTGCTTGAGGTCATTAACGTTTTTCTGCAATTAGTACGCAATACAAGAACAGTTGTGCTATTGATGGTTTTCAACCATTCCCAGGAGAGAGGAGCCAGGTAGCACCGCTCGGAACGGGTCTCATGATAGGTTGAGAAAACAATGGACAAACAATAGATAAGTCTTCCAATATAACAAAACCTAACCTAACAATAGTGGTGCTGTACTTAAGGAGCAATCAAAAAGCAGGTTTCAATTGGTACTGCATTACTGGGAGAGAGAGAAGGTTAAACAAAAGACGTCAGCCATTGCTGGTGGACCTGACAAAAGAAAACCACTACGGTACCGTGACTGGTGGACCTTTTTGTTTTGCTCACTCTCATGGGAATGGTTGAAACCATCAATTTCAATTACAGATATTCATCACTTACGACAAAATTAATTTACCAAAAATTATGTATGCATGTGGTTGTACCACGGCACGCAGTTGTGCTCCTTGTCTTCATTCGTTTTTAGGTTTTGTTGAGCAATTATTTGGGTTGAGTGCTACATTCTTTGCGTGTCATTATTTTGTCGTTGCCAGTCTTCAGTGATATACATTTTGTTGTGAATGATTTTCATACTGATTTGTTGGTCTGTAAGTTATCATACGTTGTTTCATATGTACTATAGTGAAAGGAACTGTACTAAAATGACTTATGTTTGTAGCACAACCTACATGTTCTAGCGCATATCATTTTAATATGAATATCACTTTTATAACAAATTCCCTCAATCGACTCACACGTTTCCTTGGGTGCGCCTACTTTTCACCCAGCTGTCCCAATTAAGTATTTATTGAAATAATATACATTGACTCTAAACACTCGATGAAACCATCGCTAATTTTATTATTCTCGTTTTTGATAGAGTTAACACGATGCTTTATCAGAGTTCATTCTTCTTCAGTATGTTTCGAATCTTTTAGCTTGTCTTGTATTCTTAACGCGCCTCTCTTGTTAAATACACCTAGTGCAAAACTCGTTGTCGGGGGAAATGGCGAGTGTTGATTGTCGAAGAAGATTCTACGACCGTTTCTTTTGTGAGATTCACCTTGCATAGAAATGGAGGCTAAATGGAGCAGTTATTTCTCATCAATTAGCAAAACCCATGGCTACATTCGGTCGTGCAATCTCCGTTCGACCATTGAAAATCGCCATTTTATCCGACAACCTTTTTTGAAATAGGCATATCTCATTTTCTAGAGTGCAATCTCATCTAGTTCGTTTCCAGACTCCCCAAGACCTTCTACGAAACAGAGCGCCCATTTTCAAATACACCTAGGTGTTTTTGTGTTGTCATAAATAGAGTTTGATGAGTTCATCACTGACAGCAGACGGTGTCAGGACACCCAGGTCAGTAAACAGCAGAGTGATGTAGGTTGGCGGTGTATAGTCCACCAATGGGTGGCCTGTCACGGCACGGCTAGTAGTGTACTATAGAAAAATAATAGGAAAATGAATAAATAATGAGATCAAGAATGGGAATGAGAATAAAATGAAAACATACAACAATGAAAAGAACAAGAAAAATCCAAATTTTTGAATAATGATATACTAAATATCAAAATTTTTAAATGCAACATATGAGAATGAGACTTCTTTGTAATATTTTCATTCATTACATTAATGAGATCAACAGCAAGTTGAAATTAAGTCAAAATTGAGTTGAAAGCAAGGTGAAAGCCATTTGGATGCAAATATATTGCTCATTGGTTTTTGATCCATATAACCTATCCATATAGCCTAATTGCAATGGTTGACTACCTTGTAAATATTTGGCACATCCTCTTGGTTGAGTGGATAAAGTCTTACAAACTTGAAGCTTTCTGCCACAACATAAAAAGGTTTATTGGCAGCTTTTGTCATCACTGCCATTTGGTACGTACCAATCTATGAGAGCAATAGCAACAATAACTGTATTTTGGCTATAATTTACAAATATAACACATCTTTAATAGATCAAGGAATTTCATCAGTAAAAAAATATGGTACTAGGGTTAATCTAGTATGAGCTTAGGAATAAACAGAAAATAAGCGACTCAATTTTTTAGAACAAACAAGACAATTAAATGTCTTCAATAATATATAATATTATACTTTATTAATGATTCCTCCACTTTCAACGACTCCTTCAGCACCAACCAGTACCAAGTTTACTTTCTCAATAATATAACTATAACATGAACAAACTTAAAGTTAACATCAATCACTAACAATTTGCTAATATTGTGTAGTTTCAAACAACCATTGTTTAAGGGTTAGTTAAAATCAAACTGGCTGAACAGATTTATTTTTGTTTTGTTGCATAACATAACACACTTTAAGCTATGCAGCTATCAATCTATCACATATTAATATTCATTTACTTCTTTACAGACTACAATATTATTATTAAAGTAATTACAATAAACTCACCCTACAGCAGTATCTAATATTACAGTAGATGGAATACCACATTCCTCCAGCTGATCATGCATCAAGTGCCTGTAAGACAACATTTGCAGTTAAGGGATCCGACTCTGTATCAAAACAAATTCTTTAACTAACCCTGATTTATCTGGTGCAGATTCAGTGATAAAAACATTAAACCTTTTCTTTTGTTTTGCTGCTGATTTGAGAATTTCTATGACTACCCTTGAACGGGAATGAGTAAGAATGGTCTGAAATGAGATAAAATATGCACAACTGAAAGAATGAAATAAGAAATGATGATTTTCCTTTGCAGTCTACTCTTTTGTTTTGCTTTTTTGACACTCAAAGAAACAAGAAGCCTGACAAAAGGGTATGCTGTGAGAATAAAAAATAACACTAACCCAATGAATGAATAAAATAAGAAATGATGACTTTAAAATAGTCTCCTTTGCAGCCTACATGTACTCTTTTGTTGTTGTTTTTTTTGTGACACCCAAAGAACAAGAAACCTGACAAAAAGGTAGGCTCCAAGGAGACTTGAAAATAACACTGTTCCAATGAATGAGTAAAATGAGAAATGATTCATATTTATGAATAATACATGATTTGAAAGAAAGAAAGAAAGAAATTCTGTATCATTAATCAATGTGGAATATAGTTATATGTAAATATGTTATCAAATCAGTATAAATAAATTAAAATTGATATTGAAATTGGAGTTTTGAGTGTACTTGATGATGATACATGTACTTACAGCACCATCTTTTATGAATGAATCACTGAGTTTTGCTATTTTTGCTCTTGCATCTGCTGCTCTTTTCAAGAATAATTGTCCTGATGAGATTTAACATAACTTGTGTTAATAAATACAGGATTGGTAAAATAATGAACTAATTTACTCATAGCAACTAGATAAAAATCATGCTTTTTTACATTAGTTAGATAATTACAGAATAGATATTACAATATCTATGCAAAAATATACCTCTCTCAATAAGAACTCTTTTACATTCTTTGAAATCCTAACAAACAAAAACAATGTTCAATATTAACTTGAGACAATTCTGTTGCTATTCATAGATTTTCATAAAGGAATATCATTATAGACAATACTTACAGGATTATCAAGAGCAGCAAGCGTGATAAATCTTAGAAAGAGTTCACATCCTGATGAAACTGAGGCTACTGCAATATCAGCTTTTGTTAACACTTGGATTACTTTTTGGAGGACTTCCCTCAACTCTGACAGAGTTTCAGCTGTAATAAATACGTTTTAGAAAAGGTTTTTAACTGCCTGTCTATAGACCCTATAGATAATGTAATGATAATGTTGTGCTGAACCATATGATCATTTTTTGATGACCCAGACTAATTTGATAGAGCTTTGAATTACATGTCTCTCAAATTGAGTCATTTGAATTGTACTCTTAAGGATGGTTATATGGTTTATAGTGTCTACATCACATATTGTTTGAAATATCAATACTAAGCTTATATAATATTTTATAAAATTTTTGATATATAACGCGCGCTCTGATTGGCTAACGACCGTGTTTATATCAGAGGACAGAGACACTGCTTACCGGCAAAATTTTCTTTTCGCTCGAAAAATTTTATAATTCTTAAATATATATCGCATCTTTTAAAAATTAATTATTTGTATCATTATTATTGTCATCGATATTCTTTTTAACATAAGTTCTCGATTAAAACATAGTTATTAGAGGGAGATATCTACTAACTATGATTAAAAAGGCGACATTCTAATAAGTGAACTCCAAGCTACAAACTAAGTAATTACTTAAGCTTAATAGAAAAAACTAACTTAAGCTTAAATCATCTCTGCTAACCTGGCGATTTCCTGATAAATTCAATGAGTGTGTGAATGGCTGCAACTGCGACGGACATACCAGGGTCTTTCTCCATACATCCCTCAAAAAATGTCACTGTCTCTACAAAAAGATCACAGAGTAAAGTTATTAAAAGGAAAGCAAAACATGGCACTCAAAATATTATACCTTCGACCTCCATTTTGTTTCTGTCATGAGAAACCGCTGAGCTGAATCCGCGAACTCTTGTTTTGGGATGCCTTTGGATATGATCCTTGCTATATGTATATAAAGGCGCGCTCTCGTCCCCAGCAGCTACCTCTACTAGTCAATGAGGCAAGAGTTTACTTCAATACTCAATTTTGTACTTTAATTGCCTTTTCTTTTGCGTGACTATTTTATTACGATTGAAACCTCTGACAGTGTCTCCTGGAAGCCTGCCGAGGGACTTCGTTAGAAATATTGTGTTTACTCCAGCCTATAAACGATTAGGCCTTCATTCCATTGATAGGATGATTTCAAAAAGGAGTATTTACGTCACTGTATTAAACTGTTTTCACACATTTTGGGCAGAATCGACACAGGAGAATTCTCTTTTTTTTCGGGGCATTTCAATATTTCATGTCAAAAATCAAAAAATCACCCCCTCATACATTCTCTGTTAAAATTCGCGACTTTGCAGAGCTGTATCTTCTCATGTTTTTGACACATCACCTTCAAATTTGGCAGGCTTACTAATTTTAGGCTGTTCTGTCCTGTGGGGGCGATGAATTTTCGTTAACTTTAACTGGTTTGTGTCAAATGGCGGAAATAACCTTGGTTTGACCTATTCTGAACGTTTCATAGATGTCTCCGTTTTTCATAAGACTTAAATACCACCAATTATAATGGTCCAGTCACTAGGCCATCATAGACGTTTTCACTTCCTCATTCACAAAGTTTTTCATAAGGCTTTAATAGCAGCAATTAAAATAGCCTCCGTCAATTCATTCCACTTCCTCATCACATAATCGTAAGTTTTCATCGGAGAAACAAGGAAATGACCGCTTAAACTATGTTTTGACTCTGATTTTTTTATTCAAACGTGCTAACTTGCACGTGCTCTTATATTATACAGATAAACGTTAACTAGCGTGATTCTGATGGCCTATTTGAAATCCCTACTTGTAAATCGGAGTGTCCTTCGTATAACTGATTGGTTCCGGTTCCGCCTGTGAAGTCCTATTCCCATCATCAACTAAATTTTGTACCAAAAAAAAAGTAATATCAAAACTAGAATTCAATATTAGTCTCAACTATAAAGTCTATAAATTTGAATACCATGAGTTTGGTTTGTTTGTGTGGCCTAACTGAAATATCTGCGAGTCCCATTTCTTCATCTCTATAGAGAATCTGTATCCATAAAATGACTCTTCAGGAGCTTCTCAATCAATCTGCATGGAAGCTCAACAGTCTAACAAATTTGTACATCTGCAATTCTAGTCTAAATATCTAAATAAATATACAGTATTCAATAAACTATTTCATGGTATCAATCTATTCCTTTGTAATCTAATGATAATATCTTTTACTATTTTAAGTAATTCACATTGTTTTTATTTCGTCACGCCAACTGCTGACTTGTTTTCTTTTATTTTCATCACTGGTGTGCTAGCGTTACTCTGCACGGTGCTGCCTGGAATTGAATCGAGTTTTATTGATGTTCCAACCGGGGAGATCAGCTGAGATGAAGATCTTGCTTTTCCAGTTTGAGACGTTTCAGGTCTGTGATGGATTGTGCTCCATTTACATCGCAATAGGTCCTTGAACACCACCCGGAACTGTTTATTGTAGAAACAATAGATGATGGGGTTAACCGCTGCTTGCGTGAATATCATTAGTTGCACGAGTCGCCAAATCATGTTATGGTTGAGAACATAGAAATATTTTAATGAGCGAATGATGACAAAAGGGAAATAGCAGGCTACAAAGATGCAGGTCACGACCAGCAGCATTTTACCAACCCTTTGCTGACTCTTTGTTTCGGTTCTTCTTGAGGACAAACGTTCTCTTGTTATTGAGTGTTTTTTAAGAATTCTGAAGATCTTGAAGTGCGCATACACCATGTACCCCAGTGGAAATACAAACAATAAGATTCCCTGTACAGAGTAGTAAATCTGCCTGCCTTTATCGCCCCAAGCAATGTTTAAACATTGATCGAGTCCACTCTTATCTTTGACGATGATGTAAGCGTAAATCAGAGGAGCACACGCAAGGATGGAAATGATCCAAATGAAAATGGGAATTAGTTTTCTTTGAAATATTCTCTGTGACCGAGCAAGCAATGGCGTTGACACTGCTTTGAGTCTTTCATGGCTGATAGCAGTCAGAGTGAGTACTGAGGCAGTGTAGCTTGTCTCGATTAGAAAACTCTGAGCACGACATATGAAGCCACCGGACACCCAATAACCGGCTAAAAACACAGCAAGGTCCACAGGAGTGAGAAGTGTGAATAACAGATCAGCCACAGCTAAACTAGCCACGTAAGCCAAAAGTACGGCAGCACTTTGCTTGAAGTTCTTGTAGCAAGTTAAAATTGAAAAAACATTTCCAACTATGGACAATAAGAAAATAATTACGTAGTATCCCAAATAAATGTGCCGCACAACTGGAGGGAAGCCGGTAGTTTCGCCCGTACCTTCTATAGTTGTGTTATTAGGATTTGAAGACATCATTAATGCGTTGTTTTAGAGAAAGAGAATCAACTGCGTCAGTTTGGTTCCCGTTCATCGCTGATTCATCGTATTCTGCCAACTCTTGAGACAATCAACTAACTCGGGCGTGACAGGAAGTGATTGAGGTCAATCAAGCTATTACCATAACGTGACAATAACGTGTTCATTATTCCTTCATGAAAGAGCAGTAGACCAATAAACTTTATCAGTTTATTCGATATTTTGTCCCCTATTCAAATACTTTTAAGAAACTGATAAACTGTCAAGAAAATCAAAACTGGTTATAATCACTTAAGTTTTCATTAAACATTTTAATGCAGCTTATTTGTTGAGTCATTACATAATCCTGTTTTTACACGTCCTTTCGTGTCTATTCGCGTCAAATATGTCATACACTTTTATACGGTCATTCTCATCGTAAATATTTTGGATCAGTGAGTGAACAACTGAATTATAATCAAATCATTCACACTAGTTTGATAAATAGTTATCTTACATTATTACCATTTATAATTGAATAAAATATAAGAAATGGTATCTGGCCTTGATATAATTATCATCATTATTGTAGTAATCATCGGAATCATCTATATATATTCAAAGAATCAAGGCAAAAACGTAACACATAATTTGTAAGATTAACAGCGAGATCTAGCTTTATTAGATACTTGCTGCATTTTGTTTTCAAAGATATTCCGGGAGAAGAGGAAGTAGATTGATCCAGTCGTCATTAGTCAGGCATCCTACTCAATGAAGGAGACTAGTAGAACATAAGTGAAGTCAAGAGTGGATTTTTCACGGTCTGATAGTCAAACCATAAATTGTGGGCACAGCTGTCAGTGACGTTTTGATCCTATTTCATATATCATTGAAATTTGTTTTAGGATTCATGACATGGGCTTGCTGTCTTTAAAATGTCAGTGTACTTTCTCCGTGAATATTACGCTTCACAGTGGTAGCGCCCCTGATTTCGACAGTCTGCAATCTCCGTTCCCATAGCGATGCTGAATCAATTTTCCGGTTACCTCGAGGCTACCAGTCCTTTCCTTTCTAAGCAATGCGGCCTCGTTTTTTTTAAACACGGCTATGTACTCGTAATTACAGTAATTACCGTTACCCTACCCTACCCCACCCGAAAACGTTGTCCTGAGATTTTGAGATTTATGAATTAGGATGAAAGACAAAAATGATTTCAATGATCTTCAATTAATTCCTAAATAGCATAAATATCTTTTCTTGTTTGTGTAATTAGGTGTATATACCCAAAAAGAATAGAAAGTTATATACAGTGCTTAATAGGAAAGGAGATTAATCCGGGCGAAACTGACCTAACGCGATAAACATTTGTTGTATACTCAAAATGATTCCGGTGACCGAGTTCATGCAAAGTTTCATTTGTTCATATAGACCTTGTTTATAAAAAAGTAGTAATATTGTAAAAATATGTAGAAACAGTCTAATGGACGTTTGATTTATTCAGTAGACCTGCCCTTTATGGAGATATGTCAAAACTGCAGGCCCCTCTTTCTGCGCATCAACCTCGCTCCTAGCCCCTTATCCCTTGGCTTGGGAAGCGAAGGGATAAAGACCTGGGCACGAGGCTGTCTGCGTATACATTGAGGTCATTGAGGGCCAGCGCTCGGGTGCCAGGTATCCGGTCGCGTATGCATCAACATCCAGTCGACAGACTGACGTGCCCTTGATATGAAATGTCGGGAATCAGAATCGAGAGTCGAGACTCCCAGGTCGAGAGTCGATGTCGAGAGTCGAGACTCATATGTCGAGAGCGCCATAAAAATAAAAATAACAGTGCAAAAAATTAAAACAAACCATTATCAGTAATTTCATTGAATCGCGTTTTAATTTTTTGCACTGTTATTTTTATTTTTATGACGCTCTCGACACTGGGAGTCTCGACACTCGACCAAAACCCGAATTCTACTTTCGTGACGCAGACACGCGAACGTCATGACTTTTTGACAGGAGATACGCTCAATGAATATTGATAAGACACTTACTCAGTTTGGGGACACTCCTTCATCGACATGGACGGAGTTAGTGGCGCCTGCGAAGAAAACAATGTCACAAGTCAAGAACTACACAAGAAACCCAAACAATATGTCTTTGATGATCTGTTTGAAATGGTTGGCGGGCTCGGTCGATATCCAGCAATGCTTTATTTATTTACATGCATTATGTCCATACCGATCGGCTTGGCTCAGCTAGTACAAGTTTTCTATGGTGCTTCACCAAGCTTCGAGTGTAGTACTACCCGTGATCTTGCAAGTAATAGCAGTACTTGTCCGGTGAATACGTGTTGCGCAAACTGCTCAAGTTACGATTTTCAAGGAGTCCTGACAAGCGCCGTTTCAGAGGTATTTGCACTCTCCAAATAAATATAATCCTAGTGCCATTCATCACTGCGCATTATTACTGTAGCTGGTTCGTAGTCTGACCTTGAAGAGAGCCAAAATAAAACAAGTCGAAAAAAAATAGAGTTTTCTTAGAGAAATTTTATAGCAAACTTTGCAATACTATACTAATACTCCATAATATCGCACTAGCCTCAATACGCATTCCGGAGTGTCCGAAATAAAATCAGGAATGTCATCTGGAACACCTGGAACAGAAGTTTCACATCTGCGAGAAAGACTTTGATTAATGAAACTATAATGAGTTATGTATGTATGTCAATCCGCCCTTATTGCGTTTTGATTTATTCTTTTGCAGTGGAATTTGATCTGCAGTCGTTCTCACTTGAAGGCAATGACACAGGCCGTCTATATGGCTGGTCTTCTGGTCGGATCGTTTGCTTTTGGTGTGATATCTGATAGGTTTGGACGTCGTTTATCAATCTTTCTAAGCATCTTCCTGTTGGTACGTTTTTAATATGTGGGAGTTACTTTTTATGATTTTAATTCAGGTTTAGGTAAATCTTTATTGTAGACAGTTTCGGTCCGCAGTTTCCATGTTATCATTATCATAATCATCAACCCATGAACTCGAGACAATCAATTAAGTAGTTTTCAACTCATTCTTACCATTATCCATATCATCTTTTAGTGTATCGATCCAAGAACACCCTGTCACTGATCAGTCCTTGATGACCGAACGATTTGCTTTCCCATGCTCACTTTCGGTCGTAGAGTTGATGATGTAATCTTTTGGAACCCGACTACGTTTTTCAATTATATTAGGTGTACCGTAAATTTAAATTGTCATTATGTCTTGACAGGCTTCATGTGGTGTGGCGTCAGGAGTGGCTGACTGTCTCTCACTTTTTGCGCTATTTCGTTTCGGGACTGGTGCTGCGTGTGCTGGGTGTTTGATATCTCGTTACGTGTACTGCGTTGAGCTAGTCGTCACAAAACATCGTACAGCGGCAGGTTTTATCAGCAATATCTTTGTTAGTATTGGATTTAACTTGTTGGCTTTATTGGCGTACTTAATACGAGACTGGAGGCACTTGATGCTAGCTGTATCGCTTCCTGCAGCCCCTCTTCTTGTATGCTGGTGGTGAGTATGAACCTAAAACAACAACATTGACATCAGCTGTAACGTACAGGCAACAACAACAACAAAAACGACAACAACAGCAACAACAACGACAGCAACAACGGACAGCAACAGCAACAACTACAACGCACGAAAAAAAAAAAATAGAAGAAATAGAACCTGTAGGGTGAACTAAACAACATAAAGATATATCAAATAAACCTGTAGGGTGAACTATATTGTTTGCGCTGCAATTTTTCGTGCAATCGATATGTCAGCATTTTTCGTCTCCTTACTTATTAATAAAATAGATAAGAAAATGAAGAGAGCAACAAACCAACAAAGAAAAATGAGAAGAAAAAAAAAAGAGAAGAAAACGGAGATAAACAAAAAAGAAAAAATAACCTTCCAACACCAGGACTCGAACTCGGGCGTTTAACCTGAATGAAACATGCACCCCCCGGACATCTAAGAGGGAAAAAAAATTAATAAAAAAAAAAGAAAAAATATGGGACGATTCCCCCGAGACATTCTATGAAGCTGAGGCGTCGAATCGGCTTACGTTACGGTTAGAGATTTCGGCTCTTCCACGCTATCCCGAGTGAACATAAAACTTAGTCTTAACCAAAAGGCCAGGGAGTGAGGGGGTAGCCGCCCACTAGAGCATACCTTTAGCTACCCTCTTAGACCATCGTACTATGAAGACACTTATAAATATCTAATACCTAATCGGGATAGTCTATTCGGCATAGTTCTATGCTAATATATGACGTCACCAGCATCCTTAGGGAGCAGAGAGCCAATCAAAGCGAATCTCTAAAATCATAATATATGCAGTAATTGCACAACAATGTTCTTTAGCATCGAGGGGGAGAGGACAAGGTTTGGGGGGGGGGGGGTAACAATGTTGTTAGTTAACTTGAACCCGTTGGAATGTCACGACTATCACTCTCGCTCTTCCCTTGTTGGCTGAGTTTCATTCCTGCGCATCGACTAGGATAAAGGCCGGACAATGTAAACACAGGAGCTGCAACATCTTCGCGATTCAACGTGAACTGACATTAAAGACTCTGTACACTAACGTGTCATCGATTCTTGCTTCTTGGTCATTAATCATGTCTACTAATGGATAAATATTGATCATTTATTATTGATTTATGCATCAACGATAAACGTAGATAGATTCAATCGAAAGGAACTAGCCGATGATATATATAGTTCCAATGCGTTTACTCTTAAGAGCGGCCGTTGAAAGGTAAAGGGAAGCATTCTATACTTGAGTAGAGTGAAGGCATTGAACCCATGAAATAAAAGTAAAAACTTAAACTGTAATAGTCAAATAGACACAAAAGAAAACAATGGAATTATCAAGTAATAACATGTAATAGTGAAATATGTATTTCACGGGTTCATTGACTTCACTCTATTAAACACAACTAAGATAACAGTTCCAGTTATCAGAAGCAAGTCCAATGCTCTTAGTATATATAACTTGTATCTGGTTTTTCGGTACTTCAATTCTATGGACAAACACAAAGGACTACCTGTGGTTCCTATTTACATTAAATTTCACAGACATCCCAAACTCAATGTGGCCGTGCGAAAAACTCGTCTTTTAGAAACACAATATTTGTCGGTTTTCACTCTATATAGTTATGTCGCAATCGCAAATTGAGGCTTAATTAATTCGCTATATTATTTCGGATTTATTACCTATATTCACCAGTAGCATCTATAGATATTAATGACATTTGATTATCATGCACAAATGTTTCCATTTATCCAAGTTTCCAAGGTTTTCTTTTTTTTTTGACAGGTTCATCCCTGAGTCTCCAAGATGGCTGATTGCTCAGAATCGAATCGATGAAGCACATCAGCTCCTTTTAAAATTTGCTTGCAAAAACAGAGTTAAGGTTGACGAGGAGGAACTGAAGCTCGTAATACTTGAAATAAAGAAAGCCGAACTGCGCCAAGATAATACGAGGAAGTATGGCGTCCTTGATTTGGTGAAAACGCGCAAGTTGAGAAAGAGAACAATCATTTGCTGTTTCAACTGGTACGTTACGAGTTCTTTCCTGGGAAAATTTCTTCTCGTAAACTGACGACATACTCTTTTTTCGTTGTATATCAACGTCAGTATTTCCCAGAAGAAGAATTCACATATTTCTTTATGTTAGACGTGACTCCTCGTTGATTATTATTATTTAGATAAAAACAACAGGAGTTATAGCTAAGATTTCCTAGTCCCCACTTCAAGGGTGAATCCAGGAAGGGGATCCAAGCAGAAAACTGATTTTTGTTATTTTTTCAATGTTGTTTATAAGAAATAAGGCCCATTTTAAAATTTCAGCTGGATCCTCCCTGCACTTTTTTCCGAAATCTTCCTGTATTATTCAAATATTACAAAAAACAGTTATTTTATCATGTTTTATACCTCAGGTTCGTGAATACATTGGTTTATTTTGGTATCAACTTGAATGTGAAGAATCTAGGGGGCGATATGTATCTGAACTTCTTCATCTTGAGCATCATTGAAATTCCAGGTGCACTATTCTGCTGGTTCCTTATGGCCAGGTAATATACACCTATTTCAAAAAACGTTGTCGTCGCCAGGACACAGTTCACGGTCTTGAGCCTGCAAAGAATCTTGGGATTGGCATATATAATTATACATTCAATTTTAGCTATTCAAAACACTCCGATTTAGAGTTCTGTTTTACTCTGCGTCAGGCCTCAAAACAAAGCAACATATTCTTTTGTTTCATTGATAACCCGAGAAAACTCATGGAATTTAAAAAGAGAGACAATAGAAATGATTTGAAATCTCACACTTTTAATTATTCTCACAATTAGGAATAATATTATGCGCACTAATAAGGCTAACAAAGAGCATTGGAGAATTTTGAAACTGGATTATTCTCGGTCTCGTATAGCTTTGAAACTCATTGACGGTTTGAAAACGAGGAACATTTTTCAAGCAAAATGTCTGCGAGAGACTATATTAGTAGTGTTTGCCGCCATTGAATTCAAACCACAATACATTTGGAATATATTGATTACGCATGGAATGGAAACCCCGAGATTCTTTGCAGTCTCAAGACTGTGGACTGCGTCGTAGTGACGACAACGTTTTTTGAAATAGGTGTATACGCCCTATTGACACCAGAATTTAGTGTAACGAATTATTTCGCAGGTGCACTATCAGTTTGGTTCTTCGCCAGGTGATATATATGCCCTATTCTACGCTTACTTATCAGAATACTTAAGAGAGTTGTCTGATTGTGATGATATCACACTCCGTTTACATTTTACAATATGAAATATAATTAATATTTGATATAAATTATTATGACATAATACAAGGTTTTTGAATTGTATTATTTATCTATCTATCTTGAAATATCTGCTCTAGATTTGGACGGCGCATACCGTATTCCGTTCTGATGCTGACCAGTGGGATTGCATGCATGCTTGTATTGGCATTTCCATCAACCCCAGGTAATCATGATAATTCTTTCATAAAATTATTATTTTTTCTTTAGTAAATGTACTTTGATAGTAACGTTTTTTCACAGAATATCGATATGGTATTTTAACATTGGCCATGATCGGCAAGATATGCATCATGTCCACCTTCCTCGCTATCTATGTCTACACAGTTGAGCTCTACCCCACCCTTATCAGGTATCTATTGATTGTGTCTTGTATTATTATGGCTGGGCTGCCTGTTGTAGATCTAATTATTCCTATCTCGTGCTATAGGAACATTGGCATTGGCACGTCGTCTATGATGGCACGATTTGGTGGGATTGCAGCACCTTACGTCGTTCTGCTGGTAATAATAATCATTTATACACAATGGCGTAGGATTACGCTGGTTCCAGAGGTTTCTCTGTGTTATTGATCTCTGTGTAAAATATCTCCGTTTTTCGCCGCCAATCGAGCTGCGTAGCAGTACTTGACGTTTCTCGTTTGGAATCCACTATTACCCATATCATCTGTACCCATTCCCTGTATTTCACAAGAGGAATTCCTTAGCTTTAATGCTATTTTATTGTGCAAACCATAAGTAACATCTTACTTGTATTGGATTTCAGGCTGATCTTCCCAATGTCAGTAAAACGCTTCCTTTGGTGATATTTGGAGTGATGGGCGTGACCGCAGGTATCATGTCACTATGGTTACCCGAGACTTTGCATGTACCGATGGCTCAGACAGTCGAGCAAACAGAGATATGGCCTGAGGATTACCAAATCCATTGCTGCAGAGGAACTCGGCGAAGACAAGCAAGAGAACAAGAAAAGGAAATGCCACGTGATAGTGAAGTTACTCTTGAGTGTCGTCTTTAGTCAGTTTGATACTATAAAAATCGCAAATCGGACACGCTGAAACTCGACACTTTTAGATGTTAGAGCACTTACAACTTACTTTTTATTCAGCTTCGCTTCAGTTTGATTCGAAAAAATATTAGTTTGATCCAATAGCCATTAGAACTCTAGGTTCAGTGCCATGGAGCGAAACCTTACTTTGAAGAAGGAAAATAGCGCGAAAAGCTTCAAAGCAGGCGTCTTCGGCCGTCATTTTTCTAGGAACGGCTTTTTCTTAATATTTAGCTACATAACATATAACGTATATAACGAAACAACGCATTTAATAAAGTAAATTCATTTTATAATATTGAATTATAATATTTACAACAACCCCATTGAAATCATATCTAAAGGTATTAAATTAACCACCCATAACGGCTATTAACCGGCTATTCTTCTATTCTATACTGCTGAATCTTGGGTCTATGCACTGTATCAGGTTATAGCGTTACTAGAATCCTAGTCAATTATCCTTATTCTGCGCTATGTTTGCACTCTATTTTTATAGTTTACTTTGTTTCACAGCTTTGAACTGTTGTAAGATAGTGTGTTCCGAGACTAAAATACCGTACATTGCTGGTCACTCTACATCACTGTTCCAAAGAAATTTTCGTGGTTGGCTATATCAGTCCCATACAGTGAAGAACTTCAACGGAGAGCAATGAACTTAAAATTATTGTCATTTTTAACGCAGCTAACATCGAGTTTAATACAAACAATGCATTGCAGTATCTCAATAAAGGTTTTCTGATATAGCTTTATACAGTGCTGTGTCAAAGATATAAAATAATACCACCAAATGATCTCAATATCAATGAATCCTTTACAATGGGACCACATAGATCAATGATCGGCCAGGAACAGGTAAAGACTGATGATAAATTGGGTCACCTTCATTTATGAATGTTTTGCATATGATGTTTGGTATGTTAGAAGTTGGGCCTGCAGTGATAGATACCTTTTGTTCGCACCTAAGACAATTATTATTCAAAGCTATCTATCATTGCAAACTCAAAGGCTGTCTCACTGGTAAAGGCTTGTTTACCTTTCAAGATGGTGCTAGGAACTGTGAAGTAAAACATTATAAGCTTACTAGTGGTCTTGCTTTGAAGGAAAGCCATACTATCTTTCAAACTTGGCATAGGGCTATTTCAACAGAAAGTGCCAAAACCTGGCCACATTTGTGTCATCATTGATTATCATATTGGCTATAAATTACTCTAGTTATTGTTCATATCAGTAGTCTATGCAATAAGCAACCAGAACATAAACAGAAATGCAACCCAAAGAAATAACTTTGATAGGAATTGTTCATCTTGTGCTTGAGGTGTGCCTGCTTGTGCTGTCTGGGGCCCATTTGCACCAAATGTCTGGTGAAACAAAACAGCACATTTAAAGAAACAATTAGAATCAAAGAAGGTCCTAAGCAGTGGGACTTGGTGGTCAATGGATTACTATTAGTGATTAGTACTGCATGCAAATTATGACACTTAAATATCATGTTCACCAGGGTCTCAGTAGAAGCCAGCAGCTGGCGAAAATCGCTGGTTATGTTATCGTCAGCTACTTATGAATTCATTTGGGAATTATTTGCCTATACATTTCCTATTTTGATGGGTGCTTTTCCTATTTTGATGTTTACTTTTATTTCTACTGATAACCCTGGTTCACAAAGTTGAATGTCTGGAGAATACAATAGAAGAACCAGGGGTAGTCCATCTGTTCCACAATCACCTTTCAATTGGCTTTGCCTGACAGTATAACTAAACTGGGACTAAATTAAAATGAGTCCCCTTTACTTGTTCTATAGCACTTGTTTCTAATATAAAGACTGCAAGTACTTACTGAAGTAAAAAAGGCAAAAGGAAAAGCACCAATCCCAAATGATAATTGGAAACCTTCTCCAAATGGACCAAATCCTTGGAAAGCCTTCAAATCAAACAAAACAATGCTATTATACTGTCCATTGAACAGTCAATGCATATGTACATCATTCACATTTCAGCATACTCATGATTTCATTGCCCTATTTCATTATGACGTCACAGTATGTTTACATCGGAAAATGATGCTCAACAACAGTGGAAATTTGGACCCATTTATATTTTCTACTTAAGTAGAACCTCAATGAATCGCGTTTTGATATATATCATGTATAAATGATTGCTCATGTACATTTTATTTGATATGCAGTCACTCTGATCCCTTCTGGTGACCATAATCCTTAGCGTTAAAACAATAGAATGTTCTGATGTGACGTCATAATGAACTAGGGCAATTCAGCTTTTGTTTACTACATTGAAACTCATGACATGATTAAGCACACATCAAATGTTCATTGTCATCGTCACACACATTATGTTGAACAAGTCAATCATTTACAGCAAGTTGTCAAGGAAAGCTTATATGTATACAAACTGTTTTTTTATGAGATGAGTTGGATGAACCATGAGCTAAACAAGGAAATTGTTTCTAAACTTGAACAACACTGACAGGTTCACTGACGAACATCATTGATTGTTTCTTGTATTGTTTGATTTTTGTTTATTTGAATCAAAAATATTTTAATTGATACTTACTCCATTATTTTCAGGTTCTGGTCTTCTTGCCTGGGGTCTGGGTGGCATCTTTTCTCTGTGTACATTAGCACAACAATATAAAAGTAATTTAATGGGCTCATTTCATTTATTCTGGGAGAGTGTTGTACAGTATAACTTATTGCAATTCTCTTTTCTGGTTATCTGTAAGGATCTGGACTGCCTAAGTTCCACTCTATGGCGGTCATAAATGTGGTTTGTTTTGGTGGTTTGCTAGAATTGTATCCAATCCCTTCTCTCACTTTTTGAGTAACATGCAATGCATGATGGGAAGGACAAAGGACAAGAGTGTTCTTTTTGTCTATCCTTCCCATCAACCCCTTTGAGCATGGTGAATAAATGAGTAACAAATCAGCCGAGGCCTGTTTACCTAGGATCTTCATTTGTTGTATTTCCTCGTCCAAATAATGGGATGACTTTATCTTTACTTATACCAGCTTTACACACTGGACATACTGATTTATTTGGTCTTGTTTCAAGCCACTGATAAGCAATTAATACATTGAATTAGTACATGTATATAAGAACAATATCAAAATTATTGATAGTTGATTGACATTGGAAAGGAATTGAAGAGTCATTCACAGATGAAACTTGTATCCGTTCAAATAAAACAATAATATATTTCAATGCCTAACAGGACTATAACAGATTTATGCCTGATGTTAGTATGAACTGTTGCCCTTTTCAATTACAGTCTTTTGTTTGATATCAACAGTATGCATGATACAACAAATTTATACAATTTAATTTTAATTTATTACCAACAAATTATTAATTAATATCATTTAAGTTTTGAAATATGTTTTTTTAAGGTTTATTGACTGGACACTTCAAACGAAGATGAAAGAATTTCGCAACAATCACACAAACTTCGACCTATGAACCATCTTTGAGTGATGCAATTATTACGGTTTTTTTCACTGACTAACAAAGTTTAATACATATACTTACCCTATGTAAGCATGGCCAACTGAAAAAGATATAAAAAAATCATATTTTAGACTAAGTTTGAAAAAAACTGCTATGAAATAACACACAAAGCAACAGAATATTGAGTAATAAAATTGTGTTATCAGCTGTCGTATGAACAGTGACTTGTTTCTTACCAAAATAAGTGCCCACAAAGGCTGATAACCGCATCTCTTGCTGTATCCAGACAGATATTACACTCGAAGTTTGCGTTATTTGCGTCTTGTTCCCGGTTTGAATCTCCAGTAGAAGAAGAACTGCCGTCATTCGACGATGGTCCACTTTGGCTTGTGGTCGCCATCTTGATTCTCTATACACAGCCTCGTTTCGATGAACGGAATATACGTCATCGTGTGGATATTTAGCTCTCTAATATTTTTTAGCATTTTTATGATATAATACTAAAAATCTGGATTTTTTTTTAATAATAGGGAATTAATAACTGATTTATGGTCGTGACAAAAGCAACGCCAGTGTACTTATTACAGTGCGATTAGGAAAAATACAACAAAAATAACAAAATGATATATAATTTAAAAAAAAAACGAGTGTCATGACAGATTTTCTTTGCTTTCACATGTTCTTTTGGATTGACACATGACCGTATTCCGTCGTTTCGTGGAATTACTTATGCTAACGAGCCGTGGAAGATTGGAGACAAATCACCATATTAGACGGGAGGCCTGGAAATAGCCTTATCGCCATATTGGTTTGACGGCCATCATGGTTTGTGTAATAATTTTGATATTTTCTATTTATAATTCCTTTTGATAGTCTCCATTTATCGAGATTTATCTGTCTTTGTTGCTTTTGTATCGTTATTCACGCAGTTTAACCGGATCTGTTACTTACACAGGAAGTATTTCTGATGGTACGTCGCACAAAGACGAGCATGTTTCTCGATTGCAAGGAGGGGACGACTGTCGTAGATGTAAAGAAAATGATAGAAGGAATAATTAAACGACCTCCTGAAGACCAGAGACTTTTTAAAGACGAGCAAATACTCGACGACAACAAGACTCTTGGTGATTGTGGTTTTACAAATCAGACTTCAAAGGCGCAAACACCGGCTGTCCTTGGCCTTGCACTTCGACAGGATGGTAAGACTTCAGTTTCTTAATGTCCGCAATCTCTTATAAACTTCATTGTTTTAAAAACATTTAATCACAAAATGCAAACACTTCACATTCAATACAGACTGCTATTTTTCCACTTAATATATATTGTACATATTATGCACACTATAGAAGTAGATTGGCTTTGTTGTTTGTGTCTCTCTCTTTGTAGCTAAGCAGAAACTCTAATAAGCAAAATTAAGTATATGACTTTGTAGATATACGTATTATTCAGTATATTCTAGTATGTCACCCGTTATCTTTGATTATGAAACTAACTGTCTTTTTTAAGTTAACTTATCAGGACAATTTTTTTCCATTAATTTTTTAATGTTATTTAACATTAAAATAAATTAATTAATTAAAACCATGAACACAGTTTAACAGGAAACATTTTTTCACTAACAAAGTTTGCTGTCTGAATTAATAAAAATTGCCATAAAAAGTAAGCATATGAACATCAGATTACAGGGAATGTTTGAGATAAACTTACCAAGAAATAGACTGATTCCATAAGTTATAGCATTCGCTCCTCGATTTTTCGGTTTGTCGCTCAAACTAGCATCTGTCCAGGAACAAAAAAAAAGCACAACCTGAAAAAGCGCGACCTGACAGACTGGTGGAATCAGTCCAACCAAGAATTTCAAAACAGCCAGAGATCATGTACAGCAAGCGTCAAGTATCTGTTATAACATCTATGTGACAAAGAATTGGCAATATCACATTTTCCAATGAGTTGTTTGTTTAATTCTTCATAATAGTCTTCTTCATAGCTCACCTGCACCATCTTGAGCCTTTTGCATCAAAGTAAGATGTGCATGAAATGATTGAATCCTTATTTCACACTTATAAATAGTTATTCACACTGAGGTATCTATCACTGCAAGCTCATTTCTTCTCTGTCGTCTCAATTTGAGGAACTCTGAAAATGGTGTAGAAAACCATGAAGAAGACTATTTCCTGTATCTGGACATGCATCATTGAAAGTCGGTGATTGTGTATTACGAGAAACTGTACATGAGATCATTGACAATATTATGACATGATTTTAGTAGGAGATAGTTGTCATATAACAAGCTTTATTTTGCATTTGTTTTTTTGTAAAGTGTAAGAAGGCAGATAGGCTAACTTGTATAATGCACAAACTGTAAGCAATGCACCTATTATCACAAAATGCAGCTATTTAAAAAAACATTGCATTTATGACAGGAATATTGTACCAGGATAACTGCAATTATAGCCCTTTTCAGAGTTAGAAAATAAGTTGGGCGAGGCAGAATTGGCCAAAGCAAGGCAGAATTGGCCAAAAAATTGACGCTTTATCTTTTTGCAATGTCAGGAAAATAATTTTGTCATGACTTGGCACTCTTGTCTATTTGAGGGTTGTAGCAAACATTTGTTTTTAACTGCAAAAAGATCTATTATTATTGGGCTAATGACACATGAACGATTATTAATTTTTCCAAATATATGCCATGGCATCAATAATGTAACCCCTGTCTTATTTCAGATGGAGAATTCGAGCAACTGGCAATTGATCCTCTATCCAGCCCTCCTGAGCTGCCTGATGTAATGAAACCCCAAGAGAGTGCCTCAAACAGCGAAGGCTCTTAGAAGTGAAACAAGCTCTAATTTATGAACAACATACCTGTATTACTTTTTGACTTTATTCTCTGAGAAAATCCATTCTAACATCAAATATGATGAACATATTAAGGCTACATAATAATTATCTCTTGCCATGGTATACTCTCTTATCTCAAGTGGAACTGCTTTTTTACTCTTGAATCATGTAACACCAAAATCTTCTATCGATTATTGGTATAATATTTTGTAGGGTAATAAGAAATCAGTTCATCTGTACACATAAAAACTAGCGTTATGTATCTTTAGGATTGCAGTGTTTACTGCTCGTTAAGTTTTTTTTTGCATTGTAGTATACAAAGTAGTGATTTATAAAAACACTTTGTTTGAACTGAGTGGGATGTTACTGTCTGCAATAATTATGTTTCTAATTAAAAATAATAATTTTTGAGATCAACCAACAATTTATTGTTCTGTTGTATATGTTGCGACACGATAAGGAAAGTTTGATCATTTGTAATAACCATGAACAAAATAAAACACATCCATTTACAAACTGCTTCCTTTGAATGGAATTGTGTATATTTTCTTAATTAACACCAGGAGTACATGTATAATGGCTAAGTTTTATTACTTGGATACTGCTTTGGTTTTTTTTTACTTCAATATTTTGTACATCTGGCTATTCTTCCAAAATGTTTTGATTTAGCACATTGCATTATCATCACTTCAAGGACGCTTCTCACACTAATTCTTCAAAGTCCTTTCACCAAACTTTCCTGGTTTCCAGCAAAGAAAATGGATGTACAATTGAAAGGATCTGGTGAAAGCAGTCCCAGAATGGCACACTTAGTCTCTTTGGGGAACGGTCAGGAAGCCCGACAACCTTTTCCATGAGATTCAAAAGACCGGCAGTCATGTTGGAGGAATGAACAATAGATACTAATGAGAAATCCTTTGTTGAAGTTCCTCCAAGATGACTGGTGTGACGTTACTTGAAAACGAAGAATTAAAAAATATCAACCTTCACCATAAAAATTTGAAATCTTGAGTTAATTTCAGTTAACCAGTGAAATCATACACAATTGAACTCCTCAGGATGAGTATGGATTGTGGTGCTTGAAATTGGTCGTGCCGTTGCAGAACCAGAAGGGAATCAAATGAAGTCAAGCAACTTAGTGTGCGCAACAAACACCAAACTAAAGGGGCGCCCCATGCAGCAGCAAAGCTGCAAGCCTGGAGTTTAACTTTGCCTAAATTGCATTTAGCCTCATTTAAAATACTACAAATTTATACCAATTCTGCAAAAACACCTGTACTAAATTGTACAAAATACAACTCAAGGTGGGAACATCTAGTAACTCCTAAATATTTTGAGCCTTTTGGTACTGTAGTATGGATGGATAAAGTTTTCCGACCCTTGGTAGAATTTTGTTTTCAGTGATCCCTTGATTGCAAGGCTAAGTCTTCATCCTTCATCATTTCATTCCATAAGTGATACAGAACTCAATGCACAAGCACAACAAGTAAATTTACTATATTCATTTTATAAAAATGCAAAATGAATTTTTCAAACTAATTAGGCTTAGGCTCTAAGAGTGCACTGAACATTATAATGGTAGATTAACAACGAAAGACAATTTTCCAGCAAGATGCACTATAATACTTTATCAGGAAATACATTAGTAAAAATTTCTAAACACAATGTCATTAAATTAAATTGTTCAATTCTCATATTCTATTCATCAATATGCTAAGTACATCATAGTTAAAATAAAACTTTTTAAGGGCCATACTCAACCAACATGCACTATTCTTGTGATCATGTTACAACAGAAAATCGTTAGAAGAGATTGATTCTCATATCATTTTGGTTTTAGGATATCAAACACACTTTGATACATGTCATCAAGGATAAATTTGTTTTTATAAATCAATTTAACAGTCAAAAACAGAAGTACACAAGAGATCAAGGGGATCAGGGTTGATTATGGTCCTTAAGCACTAACTTAACATGTTTTGAAGCTAATCACCAGGTAATATATTATACACCAAATTGAAAAACCTTACCCACTTCAAAACAGCTATATCATTGAAGTTAAGACCAAAGTGGGAAGGAATATAGTTTTGATTAAGGCACATTGTCTGCCTTACGACAAATAATTACTGTACTTTTATATTTTATTATTATTATTTGTCTTCACCTACTCCATTTTGGTCTTAGTTTATTGATATAACCATGTAATGTTTTCTCAATTGGTTTTGATGGCAGTTATACAATGTATAATACAGTATTTCCAAATTCACAAAATATTACAAGGAGAATAAGTTTACAAAACCCTTAAGAAATGTGTATGTACAAAATTGTCATCCATTACAGGAAATAATCAGCTGGCGGTTTCTTGGTAATAGTTGGAGTTCCTCTTACATCTTGAGGAGCTGCTTCAAATATCGTGAATTCTCTTTTAAGATGCTCATCAAGTTCTAGTATTGCAGCCACATTACCACACCTAAAAGAAAAAAACTTGAATTAACTGGACAACCACTACTATCAGAAGGAAGGTTGTGATTGGTCGAGACAACAAAAACAAAGAATTATGTCAGACAATGCCTATTGTTCTACTGGACATCTTCATTTTTGTATTGCATGTAAGTCTTTGTTATTTCATCAAATCACAATCTTTGTTCTAAGAGTAGTGTACCACTTGATTATTATTAACCAGTTGTAGCTGACTGAAGTGATTCAACAGTGAGTTGACAATCAATCAATACTGAAGCCTTTGTATCATTTTGTGTAATATATGTGCTTATTGGAATTGTTTATTGGATTACTGTTGCTCATTGGATTTTAGTAGTAGAGAAATAGTTTATGAGATAGAAGCTCAACAATCTCTCTTAAACAACAGTAATAAGTAAATAGGTGTTCTGTAGTTTTTCTTACCTGTAACAGTAGTTGGGGGCAGACCAGACAGTGAGCACTGTCTCGTTGAAATGCCATTTATATCCTTCCATCACAAGCTGATGAGCTCGACATATCAAATCAATGTCATTATTAACTGTAAACTGGAAAGACAAAAAAATCATGGAATAATGATATTTATCATATAATTATCTATGAAATACCTATATTTCTCCATTTCGTAAAATTGATATTTTCACTAGTGACTAGTGAAAATATCACATTCGAGGTTTCTCTATATAGTGGACAAGACAAAAAGGTATTTTACGGCATAATTTGCTTTTATATGCAATTATATGATAAACAGAATATTACATGTTCGCTTGGGGATACGRATTTTATCTTCTCGTGTTGAAAATCTCTCACTCGTTCGCTACGCTCACTCGTGAGAGATCTTTTCAACACTCGAAGATAAAATTTGTATCTCCGCGCGCCCATGTAATATCCTCTATTTATCATATAATTATCTATAAAATACCTATATGTTATTTTCACTAGTGAAAATAAAACACATTCATGGTATCTATACATTGAAGGTAAATAAATGTTATTTTAAAACATTTGCTTTCATTGATAATTATATTATGATAAACAGAATATTGCATGGTTGCTTGGAGGTGCGAATTTCATCTTCTTGTGTTTAAAATCTCTCATTTGTTTCCTACACTCACTTGCGAGAGATCTTTTCAAAGGCCATGAAATATTCTCTATACATACAACCTTTAAAAACACAGCATATGGAAGAGTTGTATCAGCTATAGAGTATATTACTTACTTGTGCAACTACATCACTTCCAAACAGGTATCCAGCACCTCTAGGGCTAACACCCCACCCATGAATATCTACCATGACGAATAATATACAAATAAACATATTTCTACAGGGTGAATATCATAGCAGTACAAAACCATGTAGGTAATAGACAAAAAATGTGTCACTGAAATAGTATACAATAAACAAAGCCATTACCTTCAGGGTCTGACCAAAGCAGATCACACATTGGACCATCATGGGGAACTTCTTGTTTTCTGTCAATGGATCGTATCTAGTTGAAAACAAAAGATGCAATTACAGAAGCTTAGTACTTTGTAATAATCTGGTAAGAGAATTCTGGTTTCTGAGCTTTCCTACATTGATACCAGTAAATCAAAAATGTTTGCTTCAATTTATCTAATCATTATATTGTTACAGTATTGAAACTTTTGTACATGTAGACATGTGAACTCCAACATTTGAATGCAAACACCATGACTGCTTTTGATACTTCCCTGTTCCCAGATTCTAACTATTTATAAAATTTAATAGTACAGTTGAGAGGGATGAGTTTTAAAAACATATTGCAAAATGTCAATACTTACTTGATCTAATGTGCTTATTGATGGAGAAAGACCACCATGAACACAAAATATCTAAAAACGGAAAGGTTGGATTAACAAATGGTGAAAACACAATGGCTGCCATCTTATAAGAAAGAAAAGAAAAAGAGATAAATAAATAAAAATATGAAAAGGCATCATTCTGTCTCATGTATCAAAACAGTGTTAGGAGGCTTTTAAAACTACTAATTTACATATTATATAAGATATGAGCAGGACAGCTGCCAGCAAGCAGTTTTAAGCATTGTATTTGAATTATTAATGAATTTGATATGTACAATAGATCTTTACTGTATTGTCATACATGTAAGTGATAATGAAAAAGGTTTCAAGTCAATGCCAGGGTGGATACCATATTGCTCCAACACACTGAAACTATTGTTACTGCCACATATGGAAATGAAGAAAAGGTGTATAAAGTAGTTTGTTTACATCCAAAATATTGAAATTCAAAAAGTAAACACTTTGACATCATGATCACTTCTTTAGAAAATCTAACAAATTGAGTGTTCAGTTTCTATTAAAATATTTAACCAATTGACTTAAAATTTTCTGAAATTGCTCACTGTTAATTTTTTTTTTTTTTTTGGAATTGATTTTCGACTAATTTCTTTTTACGACTTTTATGAAATCTAGCTAAAATGTAAACATTGGCCCAATTAATAATATACAATAACTACACTACTTTAAATATTACAGAACCAGTTTGGAGCATTGACATGGTTGGGATGACCTACCTTTTTATCAATAATAGCTGATAAACTTAAATAATCGAATATTTCTGTACAGTATCTCCACACAGTTATTGATCCATACTTTTTCAGACATTCATCATAAAATCCATACACCTATGAAAACAAGAGGAAAATATGAATAAACTACTTATGATCTTACTATTCTGATAAAACATGATAAAATTTCTAAACTAACCTGTGTTATTTGTCTACTTTCATGGTTTCCTCGTATAAGGGTTATTCTATCAGGATATCGCACCTGAAAAAAGAAAAATATATTAATTTAGAATATTTGTGATGACCCACTGATAACAGTGCCATAGAGCACATTTTTCCTAAATATACACCATTGGGAATAAAGTAGCTTGCCCTTGTATTTTTAGAAGTTTCTTGATAAATTCTGTCTGCTGGGTTTGTACTTTGGTTCAAGAAGTAACAATATATTGAATTGTCATGATCTGCATTATTTTAGACTAATTCCGAGGTATTATATTAACAAATAATGTTTGTAACTAACCTTAAGTGCTAACAATAATAAAAACGTCTCTACACTGTAAAATCCTCTGTCTACAAAGTCTCCCATGAAAAGATAGTTAGTATCAGGTACATCGCCTCCAACCTGTCATGAAAACAAAAAAAAGTTTTTTTTGAGAGCAATGGCTAAAAATAGCACACAATCACAAAATGCCAAGAATTTTGAATGTTTTCATAGAAAATGGCCTCAAAGTAACTGTATAGCACAGTTCATTTTATACTCTTAAGATCAGATTAATATGACTCTGAAAATAGAAAACCAATTTAAATAAACTACCTTGAAAAGTTCTTTGAGATCATAGAATTGTCCATGGATGTCACCACAAACCTGAAGGAAACAGATAACATTAAACAAGTCAAAATAGCATTTTGATTGTACTGTTTTGAAAGCAAAGCAATGTTGCAGTCAAAATTAATATTACTTACAGTGACTGGGGAATCGACACTCTGGACATTACTTTCTTCAACTAAAATTTCCCTTAAACAGGAGAAAACATGATATCAAAATGACTACAAATTCTCAAGATATCAAATTTTGAAAAACACATGAAAATCAATGAAAACTCATTCAAAATAATGAGTTCAGTAAGAGTTATTACCTGGCTTTGGCACATAATTGCTTTACTTCTTTTTCTGTAATAAGCTCGCACTGACGAAGCTTCTCAATTTGCCTGAAAAAATCAAGTAGACTAAAGTCATACATAGACCAATACAACACAATCCACAAAACGTCCATCAAAATACTGGAAACACTGCCAGATCCACTGTAGTGTGAGATGGACAAAATTTATATATATCTCTGCTCAGCCAACTTTTGTCATAAATTCCAGAAATTCCTTCCTGGTCTGACTGGGATATGTTAACCTGTTTAAAACCTTTTTAAGTTATCTTTAAGATAAATTCTGTCTACATTAGTCAGACCTTTAAAGAAGGTTTTAACAACTTGAACACAAGCCCATTCAAAATAGGGCAGATACTGTGGTACAGGAAATTATATATATTTATAGTTTTGGTAATTGCCTTGATTGGCTGGGAACAAGCATCGCACATAGTGTCAGCATTTTTCTTTCAACTTTGTCAATAATTTTTGGTACCATTTGGATTATTGTGCTTACATCAAAGTGAGGGTTCACCTGTTGCTTTGAAAAGAGAGTCTTTTTTCGTTCAAAACTACTACTTTTTTGTTAAAATAAGTAGTAAGTTAATAGATGGCCTGGATGGTCAATTTAAGCACTGTCTTCCCACACCAATATCACTTCCTAAATAACTAATTGCCGCTTATTGACATGATTTCCTGCTTGAGTGTTAGAGGAAAAGTCTTACAAAGAAAAGCAATTGACATATTGTAATACAAAATTGCGAGCCGAACACTACAAAATCATATGAAGAAAGAAACCGGTCTTGCACAAGCTACAAAGATCAATGTTCAAACTATGAGGACTTTAGCGCACGAAAGAGGAGATATCTATGGAAAGAAAATCATTAAATGTATAACTGTCACCTGTCCAAGTCGCTACAGTCTGCCATGGAGAGAAATAACTTGAAAACTTCGTTTGATGATGAATGAAGAACTTGGCCGGACAGAGGTCAATAAGAGAAAATGTGAAATATTTCTCGTTATATGAACTTATAACGAGATTTCCAACAGCTAGAGGATAAAATAATACTTTTAAAAACTCCTACTTGCTATTTGAAACAATAAGATCAAGTAATTCAGTAAGTTTGGATTGTAAAAATCATCAAAATTCTACGGACATCACAAGCCTACACACGACGCCATGTCATTTCCTGTCGTCATGCGCAATGGCTAAAATATCACGTGACTTTATAGCAAAAAGCCCGCCATTTTCTCAGATTTCGGGAAAAAAACGCTAAATTTAAATACGTAAAAAGACCGTCCATATTATGTATAAGATCTTGAGTCTCACGGATTATCTGGGAGTGTAACTATATAACTATTATACAAACCTTTTTTTCAGGCAATCTATTTTTTCGCGGCGTAGAACTTCTAGACTATTCGCCCGACGAATCTGCAAATCCCACGCCACGAGAAACTACCATCGCGTTCAAATTCGTAAAAAAATTTCCAAAATCCTCCACGGTTCTTTACTATGTGAACTGGCCACTTATCCAGACCGCGCCTCCCCCGGTGAAAGCTTTACGGCATGTGAGAAAAGTAGACTGTTTCAGTGTTTCCAGAGTTAAGTACCAGTTCTTGAAATACACATTTTTACGTTTACGGAAGTTACGCTCGATAAGGTCCCTTTTTCGGAGCTCCAAGTGTGGGATAGGCCATTTTTTGATCATTTGTCTGGGATAGGGTAGTAGTTCTGTTTGGTATAGGGTAGCTTTTTGTCTAGGCCGATAGGGTATAGTCCCCGGGGGGTGGGGGGGGGGAGGGGGTACTCCCATATATTTGCTATACGGGGACGTGCCGCTGGCCAGGGTATGGTTTTTGGCCTTGCTGTCTTAAACAGGGTATACATTTCACCCGAAATTGTCTTAAACAGGCTCTACAATTTCGATAAAAGACCGAGATAATTTTTTGGACAGGGTGATATTTTCATAGAAATACCGTAGATTAGTAGAAATATCGTTTCATGTACCAGGATTAACGTGTTATCAAAAACTTCTTATTGTCTTTGATGGATGTCAGTATAATTGCAGTTTTGATGGTTGGCGTAGATAGTCTTGAACAGGGTATGGATTTTTACTTTCTAGTGTCTTAAACAGAGTAAGGGTTTTAGACCGTTGGCGGCACGTACCTATCTAAAACGGGGTTGAGTACCCCATTCCCCACCCCCGGGGATATAGTCTCATTGTAGGGGGTAGGGTGGAGTTTTGCCCTATAATAATAATAATAATGTAATTTTTAAAGCGCTTATACAGCTCAGATCTAAGCGCTGAAAAAATAATAAAAATATAGATAATTATGAAAAAATTAGATAAAAAAAATACAAATTACAAATAAATTACAAATTAAAGGCTAGTTTGAAAAAATAAGTTTTAAGGCATGATTTAAAAGAGTCAATGTCAGTAATGTTTCTAATAGAGGCAGGAAGAGAGTTCCATAATATGGGAGCAGCAACAGAAAACGAACGATAACCACAGGACTTTAGATTGTACGATTTTACAGACAGCACTAATTGATGAGATGACGAACGAAGTATCGTATCTGCTAGGCCACGGCTTACCTAAGAGACCATGATGGAGAAATTGTGAAAAAGATTTATGGGATGTCAGTGGGAGAGTTTTTAAGGTCTGTTCTTCCCCCCCCCCCCCCCCCAACTTATTTAAGCATGCTATAGATCGGCGCGAAACAAAACTCAGGAGCGTTACGCTACAGTACGTGACTGAACTTTGATAGCACTCAGGAGTAACCTGAGCCAATCAGGCTCTCCCGGGTCAAACTACTACTTGGCACGATTTCCGCGTGAAGACAGCTTGGATTTCTTCACTTAGTGACTTCAGGTAAGACATTCTTGCAGTAAATATTTCAATCAAAAAGAAACTTTGGATCTTGTTAAGGTACTGATGTACTATATGTGTATGTAAAGACCCACTGAGACAACTGTCCAGATATTTGCGTCATCTAGAGAGGGGTGAATCATAAGACCAAGATATAGTTACTTTGTATGGTTTGTTTGGGAGTTTTTGTAGATACTGTACCTGCTCAAGTACTGGCATTCAGTGACCTACAGATAACAATGAATTTAAATTACAGGATCGAGCGTCATTTAAACGTCTTTTTCTTGCAACGAACGCAAGGACCAAACGGATTAGTTTTTCTCTGATACAAGCAAATGTTTCGCCTGCTGTGTTGCATTTTTGGTTCGTATGGGTTCTTCTGTGATCGTGCTTTACTGCCATTGTTTATTTATACCTCCTGCAGTGAAGACAACTATGGCAGTAAAGGCTCGAGTTTCAATGTTGTATTTCGTTCACTATATCAGCATAGCGTTTCTATTATTAAATCTTCGCGCATCTTGTAAATGTTGACCTAAGATTTTCTTTAAAATGCTCATAATACCCTAGTTGATCAGTGTTTGTCCTGCCGGGTTTCTGTAGTGATTTTACATCGATTGTACAGGTACTATACAAGGGTTATATAAATGTCTGAAAAATCAATAACTGGAGATGCTGTTCACAAAAATTGATATATCTTTTTGAGTTTATCAACTGCTATTGATGACTCATCCAGCAGACCATTGGTTACGTAATTATTTGATCTTTTACTGATTAGTCGTTTCTGCATGAATTTTGATATTTCGATATAGGCGACATTTTAATACTGAGAAAATTGTTTGTTGTTGTTTTTTTTTTAAGTTTAAAAAGTTTTAATGAAAACCTTTGCAAGGTCGCACCTCCTATATAAAAGGTAGGAGGAGCCGACGGGTTCCTGTTTCTGTTGTTATGTCCCAGCCAGCTGTAAATCACAACTGGTTGTCAGCGAGAAATTCAGGAAAAAAGAACTCTCCAGGCAAGGAATACTTTCTAAGAATTTTTGCCAGGAAAATAAAAATTTCCTAACTAAAAAAATTATAAGCCGTTTTTGAACATAAAAACGTTTGCCAAGAACAAAATTATTTTAAAGAACTAGGAGGACGCCACATTTGCTTGTGATCATGAGATTGTCAACAGTGTAAATGAAAATCCCTTTCCCAGGAAAAAAATCGTACAAGAACAGTTATTTAGAAGAACAGACCCCGTTGGCTCCTTCTGGGTTTCCGACCTATGATGACGCAACCCCGTCTCCCAAAATGATTCTATCACTAACTTATTGCCCTGTAATTCAACAGCATGGCGGAAATATCCGAACGAAACGAAGCAAAGAAGGATCAATCAACGTCTGAAGAACTGGATGATGTTTTCAAGAACCATATTTTTGAGTTTGGACGCTATCAACATGTTCTTTACTGGTTGACCTATTGTCTTATCATACCCAGTGGATTACAATTTGGATTGATGGTGTTTGTAACGGGTACACCCACTTTTCAGTGTTCAGATGCCAACTCTACTTGTGAGATCAATAAATGCTGCAAAGACTGTACTAGCTATGCATTTGAACCCAAAACCTTTAACAGTATTGTATCAGAGGTATGTCAGTCTTAAAACAAATAATAAGTTCGTAACTATTAATTGAAAATGAATGGACTGAATGACTAAATGAATGAATGAATGACTGAAAAATAGTACATTATTCATGATACGATATCTTGTAAAATGATATATGATTACATTTGTTGCTGAGTTAAAAACTGCGCAATTTTGAATAATAATTTTTGGCACTAGAAAGTACGAATAACAGTACCAATCCAAACCCATCGCACTTTTTTTCATTTTCAGTGGAACCTGATATGCGATCGTGGTGGTAAGGCAGCCACCGCGCAATCCATATTCATTGGAGGAATACTAGTTGGTTCGTTTGTTTCTGGGATTTTTTCCGATGTTTACGGTAGACGTCTGTGTATTTACCTGAGCCTTGTTATAATGGTAAGTTATCATTAGAATTATTTACTCTAGAATGGACCTAGGCTCCTCCGCAGTCATCTCTCTCACACTGTGGGGTCTGGAAACGAATATACAAAAGACTAATAGGGAGCCCACCTGGTCGATTAGTACTTTTGGAGCCGAACAATGCGTCCGCCATCTTGAAAAGTGGGACCGTCCCACTTTCTGAATCACTAAATTATAACTACTAAAGGATTTAAAAACTCCTCAGCTAATGTCTAGTTGTTATTATACGATATTATGATAGATTAGTTGACTTAGGAACTACGAAATGTGTTCTAAGGCATAACATAGTGATTCCGACCTCACTTTTCAAGATGGCGGACGCATTGTTCTCTGAAAGTACTGATGCATGTATAGAGAATTGACTTCGGAGGAGGCCTGGATAGACCTGCGTTCTATGTTAACGGGCGTGGTTCGCCTCATTAGAGGAAGAATCAATAGCTGCAATCATTTCAAGTTTCGATTTCTAGTTTAAATATACGTTTTATTTATGTCAATGAAACAAGGTCTTTGTTGTCCATTATAACACCTAGCCGCCCTATAAGAATCACAGCGTATTCTCTCCATCGCGGAGGAACGATCTCTCGACGCCATGACAGCTGACCCCCATTCACCATTCCGCTTATACCCCATTTCAGTCCTTCATGTTTTATTCAGAGATGTTTCGCTATACTTATTTATCTACACAGGTGATAGGAACAGGAGCTGCTGCAGCCGCCGACTGCCTTTCTTTGTTTTCATTCCTGAGGTTTTTTATGGGATTTTCTGTAGCAGGAATCATGCTGAGTCAATATGTCTATATACTTGAGCTTGTTGGTCCTTCAAAACGTACAATGGCTGGCAAGTTGACTGATTTTGGATGGGTAGTAGGTGCTTGTTACACTGTAATGCTGGCTTACTTTATCAGAGATTGGAGGATTTTATTAATAGTCGCAAGCCTATCAGCAGCAGTACTCCTCTTTACTTTCAAGTGAGTTCAAAACTATACGAATATTTTTTAATATTACTCTTATTTTTCTTCTTATTCCAATATTTCTTTAGAGTGGTTCCAGAAACAGCTCGCTGGTTGTTGTCGCACGATAAAATCGACGAAGCGCATGCTGTTCTTATGAAGTGCGCTGACAAAAAGAAAGTAGATCCAGAAGTCATTCGTACAATTCTAAAAGATGTGCGAGAGAATGAGAAAGTGATTTCAAGACCGAAAGTATCTGTTTTAGACCTCATAAAGACAGCTAAAATGCGCAGACGAACTTTGATTCTTTGCTTCAATTGGTAAGCCTGGAAGCTGCAACCTTATCAAGACATTATTGATTAAACAATAGCCATTTGAAATAGACAATGAAAAACACATTTAATTTGATTAATGGTTAATGTCTTTTAACGTTTTTTTCAATAGGTTTGTGGTTGGAGCCGTTTATTTTGGCTTTGTTCTCTATGTCACCAATCTGTCTGGAAATATATATTTGAATTTCTTCCTGATGTCAGTGATTGACTTGGTGCATACCCCCGTTGTGTGGTATGGACTTCAAAGGTAAGGAATACGCCTTATTTTACAACACACGACTTTTCTTACAAAAAGTTTGGCAACTAAAGCGGGGAAGGATAGAATTGGCCCTTGTGAACAAAGGATCAGGTCCCTTGAAATGCAACCTACACACGCCCTTGTAAAGGCGAAGATCACGTCCCTGGTGATGCAAACCTATCGTCACTGGCATATATGTAGTCGTATAAGTAGATAACAGAGTTGATAACGTTAATCTTTTTTTGTTACATAGGTTTGGTCGGCGTGTAACTTACTTCACAATCTTGATGTTTGGTGGGATTGCTTGTCTGTTGGTGCTTGTCGTACCCAAAGGTAACAGGATTTTGAAAGTTTTACCGAGGTTGATTAACAATATTGTTCAGTTTGGCTTCAGGAGGAAAAAAAGGAGAAATTCAAATTGGGCATTACCATTTCTTGTTTTCAGAGTACACTTCACTGGTTACCACGATTGCATTGCTGGGAAAGTTTTGTGATACAGCAGCATTCTCAACAATTTATCTTTATACAACAGAATTATATCCAACTGTGATAAGGTATAGTTTTCTTCTCCATTACCGCCCAAATAGTCAAACGACAATACAGATAAGCCCAACCAAATAGCATTGAATCAATATTTGTCATCAATCAACACTATTAACACTAAAAAAGAAGTTTGGTTGAATAAGGCTCCTCTACCTTGATTATACATGTATTTTAGTTTAGTGTTTTTGAATCTTCACTGGAAAAAATCACCGCGCGCTTCAAAGGTTGTAAATTTGATGTAAATATGATGTAAGTGTCCAAAATTCTGTAATGATTTGATGTAAATGATTTCCATTAAATTTACAGAATTTTGGACACTTACATCGTATTTACATCAAATTTACAACCTTTAAAGCGCGCGATTTTTTCCAGTGCTTCCTCCTCCGTGGTGGCTATTTCAGTCTCATTCTCTAGAGCCACCACACGGGGAAACACAATGGTAAGCATCAAACCAAGGTAACGATAAAGGAATATATATTATTGCAAAAAACATCGTGTGTTCTCTTTACGTAGAAATACTGCCATGGGAACTTCATCTCTGTGCGCACGTGTAGGCGGGATGATTGCCCCGTTCATTGTCATGCTGGTAAGTATTGATTAGTAACTGATCAGAGATCAATCGATCTGCTAATCGTCATCAATAGAATCATGCTTCCTTAAGATATATATAGCAATAAGTACAGTATAAGAAAGTCACCTCGAAAGCACCTGAGTCTCTGAGAGGGTGGCGCACCGTCCTGCGCGTATTTTGAGCTTGACTGTTTCTGTTTTAGGCTCAGCTTCCAGGAATCAGTCTAACACTGCCAATTGTTATCTTTGGCGCTTTAATAGTGGCTGCCGCGGTGTCGTCACTATGGTTACCAGAAACGCTAAGATCCAGCATGCATCAGACCATCGAAGAAGAAGAAGCAGCGCCTGAAGATTACAGCTTTCCGTGTTGTAGAAAACCACTTCCTGAAGGGAAAGAAGACTATGAACTTCAACAGACCGCTGAATAACTATTCAACGCTGAAGATATATAATGTAAAGCTCCGATGATTTTAGCTTGTATAATAGTGAACATCAACATGTATTAGATTAATTTTATAAATCACAATTTTTATACCTATTTAATATTCAGTTCTTTAATTTTTTTTTTACCTTATTTTAGTGTTATTGATCAGTTTTTTCACTCTTATTTTAGATTTAAAAATTTTTCGGCTTTCTTTTTTTTGAAATTTCTATCTTAGTAGTTTGTCTTTATTTTTGTTTATTAATATTTTTAGAGCTATTTTTGTGTTCTGAGAGTTCAGTTTCAGTTTCAGACCATACGAGTGTTCAGTTTTATTGCAGTACTTCTGCAAGGCGAAAAAATTCCATCGACTGCAAAATTAAAACTTCAACAGCAACGATCTTACGAAGCATCTATCATAATTTGTCGGTCTTTATGCACCACTATGGTGCGAGGTGGGCCGGCAACCATGTTTTGGTGATGACGGCCTCTTGTTTCTAGATTTACCAATCAAAGAAATTGCTTGGTGATCCAACAGTTTCTGATTAATGGATGGTGTTGTTGGGACATCCTAATTGCTTGTCCAATTACGATCACCAAAGTGCGCAGCATAAATTTTGCAATGTACTGATAATCAGTACGCTAATCTTACTACAACTAAATGTTTGTACAGTACCAAAAGATTTTTAAAATCAACTGATCTGCGTCGGTGCTTCTAAAAAAGAATTGCCATAAAAGTGTAAGATATAGACCATAAAAAGACGAATAACTTTCTTACTGGCGTTTTGGACCACCGGACGTTAGTCCTTATTCTGGAGAATAAACATCGCAATTTTCGGGAACCCTGTGTAAACTTCACGCGCGATATCCTTTTGATTGTGATGTAAATCAAGTAACGCGTTCATTGCCAATTATTAATTACCGATCGCCATGGCACCCGACAGTCACTAGAATGATTCCCTACCCTTAAAAAATGCCTAACCAGGCAAAGAAAGTAACTTCTACATCAACTACAGATAAACAAACTAAAACAAAAAAGAAGAAAAAGAGCAGTTCATCTCACAAAATCAGAAGAGAATCCGGCTCAGACTCCAATGAAGGTATTCGCTTTGTTTACTCTAATCGAACTTCACTTAGCTCTCCACGCTAAATCTATTATCGCTTTAATTGTACATGTTGACGATACCAAGTAGTTACTAAACTCTATTAAACCTATTTGGTCTTTTTTTATTAGGCGTGAAAAAGAAATCCAAATCCAGACGAGGACGAATCTCAAGTGATTCTGCTGGATCTACAAGTCAAGAGTGTAGTCCTGCTTTAAGTGGCAGTAGTTCCAGTAATGACAGAACAACAAGTAGCAGTAGTGGAGAAAATATTTCAGTTCTTTACCAAAGTGAAAATTCTGATTTAGACTGTGCTAAAGAAAGACTTAATGGAGAAGAAAGTAAAACAAACACAACTAACTCTTTGACGACGAGAAATGAAAGCCTTCGTTGGGACAATGTTCGCAACAATGAAGATGATGAAGAAGAAAGATTACGGGTTTATAAAATCAATAGAAGAAAAAGATATATGGAGGTTTTTCAGAAGAATGCTGATGACCGTTCAAGTCAATTCTATGCCTCGTGAATGGTATCATGACCAGTAAATAGAATTCGTGCTTTTTAGTGACGCTTTTCTACTAATCTGGTAATAATTAATTTGAGTTAATGGTCAATTGTTGCCGAAGTCTGAGGTACATGTGACTCGTTAGAATTAAGTTTTAGTGATGGCAAATTTGTCTTGAGCAGTAGCTACAGCTATATAGGAAACTGAAAAAGATGTTCAATATATTTTTAGATTTCTTTGCTTTCAATGCCAACAGCAGATGTAAATATTTTGTACAGAACTGATGACAAAGGTCGACAAAGGTCGTATAGACGTGACGCGTTTGTCACTTTATCAAGTTTCTAAAATAGTATCCCATAAAATATCGAACTGTGTTTTTTTTGAAAAAAAAAGTTTGAAAACGTAACGTGAATGGTAAAAATGACAGATTTTGTTTAACTTCTGTTAAAATAAATGCTAGAAAAGCTCTAATAACTTGTCAGTGTAGGAACGTGGATTCATCAATCAGAAACTGAACAAATTTCATGGAATTGTCAATGTTGCAATTAAATTTACGGATTTACTCCGATCTTTTTTGAGCGAGCCAAAATTAATAGTACGTGGATTTTGGATTGTCTGGATTCAATTAACATGAATTAACATGGACATGAAAGAATTACAAGTTCTGACTAAACTCATTTTTGTAAATTCCCCCCCCCCCTCCTCCCCCACCACTAATTTTGTCGCCATCATGTCACAGAAAAAGTTAGTGTTTTTAATATACAGATAGTTTTTAATTTTTTCAAGTCCATCTGTTAATCCATTTGTTTACTGTGATGTCAATACGACACAACCAGAGAAAGAAGAGAAAAAATCTTGCATATTCCGACATTACCATTTACGTCATAACGGCTCACTGCTAAACCATCCCCTCCCTCCCAAATATGAAGGTTAATGACGCCGATTTTTCCCTCTATGTCCATACAGCGCAATGTTAAAAAACGTTTTTTTAATTTGTGCCACTTTCTCGTCAGCATTGTACCGAACTACACATCACGCGGCTACTTTTCGTGCTGAGTTTTGAAGTTCCTGCTGATTGGTTTTCCTACTCAGTGACGTAATRATCGGTTGTCACTGCCAACCTTAATGACTTCAATAACTGGTCTGTTTTTATTGTGGATTAGTTTAAACGCAATGCTATAGGACAGTTTCAAGTACATACTCAAGAATTTGTTTGCAATCTCAAGTGGCGTGTTGTCTGCTGCGGTTGGTACGATGGTAAACGATAAATCGCATCACAGTGAACTTAGTCTACCTATGTTGAATGAGAATAGCAGCGGTTCAGTCAAGTACGACGAAGTATCGGGATTTTATGAGAGGCAGACGCGTGGAAACATGAAGGATAGCCACACATCGAAATATTCCGATGGTTTGTATCTGTACCTCCGAGAGCCAAGCAGACTTTACTCGTACCGCTATACAAGTCACGAGAAACTACGTCAAAAATTCATCACTGAACTTAACATGTACCCAACAAATTTGACAAGGAAATACGTATCTGCCATCAACTGGTACCCAATCCACAATAATGGCTATCAACAACATCCTCCAAGCTATAAACAATTTTTGTATATTGTTCCCAAAAAATACCAGCGTTTTACATCAACTAGAATTCTTAAAGAAAAACAGAAAAAGGAGCGGCATTGGTGTGGACTAAAGTTTCAACCGAAACAGGAAACTCGAGTGTATTCGTCCACGATTTACTTGCTGCCAAACTGAGGAAACTTCCAGAAAAATTCGGTTATCTCATGATCTATGATTGCTTTTAACTTGAAAGTTTAGGATTAATGCAATATTAATGACAAACAGTCTAACGGACCATGCAAAGGATTTAACCACAAAAATCATTCTTTCACTCAGCGCAATCACGTGAGATTCCACACGGTCTGCTTCGACAATCCGGACGGATTAACGAGTTTCGACATGCATGTTATTGGGGATCATATATATGATAAAAAAAACGAATGAAAATCTGACGATATCAGGTTACTGGAAGACAGGTGAACAAAATGTGTTTGCTTGCCACTTAGCATATCAATGGAAGGCCAATTATGAAAAACACCAACATAGCAGTCAGTGCCAAACTCACTGACTTCAATATTACCTATCCAACTGGTTTGCAATTATAGTTGAAATAAAGGGTTTTTATTCAGTTCCTTTTAAAGTATAAATCTTTAGCTGTCGATGAGTTGGAGTTTAAGTTTTAGGACCTTAAAGCATATTTTTAAAACTTACCAGTTTACACTGATTCGTTTATTGTTTTGTCAATTAGCTAAAACATTCAAATCTTAAACCGTCTTTGGAACTAGAGTACAATAACCAAATAAAAGTAACAAATAAAAGTTTAGTTAAAAGTACGCAGTACGACTGATGAAATTGCTGCTATCGTGCTGTCACTATCGCCGCAATAGTCGACCAATCAGACGAGTGGTTGAACGCGCGCAAGTAGATTGAAAACAGGCGATTTTAGAATGAGAACAAAGTAAAATATTAATAAACTCTGCATAGAAGGAAGAGAAAAGACGATTATTTTAGTTGCTCATTACTTTTATTACATTTATGTGTGTATGTTGACACTGTAAAAAAGTAACGTTGTCACAGTTGTCTTGTAGGAAGACTCTTCAATCAACGAAAAAAACGCTCCACTGAAAACAAGCTGATTAAATCATATGAACTGGGTGCATCAAGAATTAAAAATATTATGATTTTAAGCAAAGTTAATAAATTATTGTAGACAATAATAATGGAATTTTGCCTAAGAGTTAGTAACTCTGAAATGCGTTACTCACTGAATTTTGTTGAAAATGGGTCGTTCCGTTGATCTTTATTGTCAATAAGCTATACAATCTCACACTTATTTAAATGCACTTTTGGTGTAGTCTTTCTACCAATCGCTTTTTCAATAAGATTGGCTACACTGGTTTACACTGCATTGCATTGGACTTGTCTTTTGAGATCGTCTGATTCAATCTGCTTCAATCAGTTTGTTGTCGACATTGTCAAACGAATCAGGTACTATAAGCTTTATTTTTACTACCTAATATAAATACGTTTAATTATCAACATGAAAATATGAAAAGGCTCATGTTATAGGTAGCATTGAACCATAATCACGCTGTGCTGCATCATTTCTACTTCGAGTTGCTCTACGAAACGACTTCCTCGTCCAACCATAGACAATGCTATTTAGAAAGCCTTGCAATGGGGCAGATACACTCTGAAGAAAGTAAGACATTTATTAGTGACGAAGAAAAGGTGACACATTCTATAGCCGATAGTTGTGCTGTATATAATATGTAGATAAATATCAAATGTAATTGAAAGAAACTCTATGGCAACATAAATAAGCTTCAGCCTCCTTCTCAGTCAACTCTATTCCGCGGGATTCCTGTGTTAAGGCAGAATTATCGGATCGATCGGGGAGGGGTAAGGAAGGAAGGAAGGATCGGCACCAGGAAGGAAGACCGAGTAGAGAAAAAATCTGTTTCCTTAGGAGTAGTCTGCAAAGGAGAGTAAAAGGAGCTAGTGAAAACCTGCATGATATATGTCCGACAAGACAGTTCCCAATCACTATCCTTTGTCTTCAGTTTTCTTGCAACTTCCATGATAGCAACAATCAGTGCTGAAATTGAAAAAAAGTGTCTTTTACACCAAAAACTAGTTGATCACTTGCAACACATGGCCACTTAAAAATGGCAACTGTAAATGGTATGCATCTCATACTTGAGGAAGGGTTATGGATTGCGTAAGGTTCAGATTACAGCTGGGTTAGGTTGGACAGATTAGGTTCCAATTAGGGTTGAGTTATGGTTAGACATTGCAGATTAGGGCTTAAATTGAGATGAGTTAAGGTTGGATACTCGATACAGGTGCAACTTACCAGGTGTCCAACAAAAGATGAATACCATTATGTAGAGAATGATTCTTTTTCTCATGTTGCTCATACTTTTACGCTGACTGTCTGTGTGTATTCCTAAAAAACAAGATAGTAGCCCTACATCAGCCTATATCAGCCAGACATAAACTTCAGTATCACCATATGAGCTCAATGTTGCATTTTGCAATATTGCTAGTAACAGCATTTTTATATAAGGAAGTTATCCTTCAGTAGCATGGTGACATGGATGATATAAAAGATGAGATGAACAGCATACACTACATACTGCTAACATCCACATTATTTACATTACACTTGTGAAGCTGGAGCATTCCCCTCCTGGGTACAACACAAATTGAGGTTTCTTACCCCGACGTCGTAGACACTTTCTGTGTATTCTCTCAGTCATAATATAGAGGACCTTTATTTATAACAAACATGATACTGATTCATTATAGGAAAAGTGAATAGGAAATAGGAAAAGTGAATAGGAAATAGGAAAAGTGAAAAGTGAATGGTCACTTAAAAAACAACTTTTCACACTATTTTCATTTGCAAACTAAGACAATCAACTTCAAATCAATGATCGTATATTGCATTTTTGCCTCTGGAATATCTTGGGGGGGGGGGGAGTAAAGGTTATTGTCAGTGACAATGAATACTTACGATAAGTAGAAGAATGGAGGGAACAAGACAGATAATCATTAGAATTGAATCATACATAGCCCATGCTACACCACCCTAGAACAAAATATCACATTAAGGTATTTGAAATTTACAATTCATACTGATTAAAGCTGCTTTTAGTTGTATGTTAAATATTTATTTTCCTCCAAATAAAAGAAACAGAATCGTGTTTGTCATTGAAAAAACTTTCTAAAACTTAGGACTGTGTGGGAAAAGTTCATTACAATATGCTTGTTACAAAAGTTTATTGTCTAGGATATCAAACCTCTTGGTTTCTTAAGTTTGGTCGGTCGAACAAAAGGAGACACCTAAAACATAGAAAAGTGGCTTGTGATGTAACTRAAACCATAAAACAGAATAGAACTGGCATACATTATCTTAGTACTTATCCATTGGAGAGATCCATCTTTTACGATTCGGTCAATATCATAAACATGCCAGTGATTTTAGTATTTTGCCATGATGCAAATGCAGTACTGGTATTAGACGAGTTTAAAATGACATTAGATTTCTSTTTACCTTGAGCAGGATGGTTCCTCTTTCATTTCTTCACGTTGTTGCTTGTACTTGTATATTAATGGAGCAACAGTAATAACAGGAATAACCCTGACAATGATTTCATTAAAAAGGCATCACTTTTACTAAAATCAATAGGATGCAAATCATTCTACTTTAAGAAGCATCCATAACTGTCCCCATTCTCTTAYATAGACCTAGCATTCAGCCAATAAAATTTATAATTTTATAATATTGAGTAACAGGTCTATCTGTAATCAACTTACCAGCTTGCAATATAGAGACCTCTAAACAACCATTTGTAGAGATTACTTGTTGAAACCTACAAGAAACCAACCTTGTCTCCAYTATGCTATGTCAGTATCACTCTAGATACCAGGCCCCACCCCGTAGGCTGGRGGACTTCGGGGGAAATAAATTTTTATTTAACAGAGACAAGGGACACACATTATCTAATAGTTTTATTTGTCTATAATTATAGTTATTATTTTATACTTTATAGCATTATGTATTTCATTTCACTGGTATTTTGTTTATTTTTGTTTGCTTGCCCATTTTTGCTTTTTCATGTTCAAGAATGTAATGTTTAGTATTTCCTGTAGTCATGAGGATGACCCAGATAGGTCAAAAGCTTGACAAATAAAATAAATCAAAAAAAGGTCGAAATATCAACTTTTTGAACAAGATCTATGTTCTTGGTGAAGGCATTAGTATCTATAAAAATTATCATATCCATCAATCACGATTGATTTTATTGTGAGAAAGCTATCAAAATAAATGTATACTTACAGTGGAGAAGTTAAGATGTTCCAAATTATGTGTTTTTCCTCTTAATCGAATGTAAACATTAATTCCATAATTAACAGTCAAAAAGAAAGACATGATTAAAAACATCTGCAAAAAAAATAAGGTCATTCTCAGCGGATCAAAGTTTTAMTTCATGTACATGGTGGGGTATGATACTTCTTTCAACAGTTGAATTTATTTTGCCCATGAAGTCGTAACTTGATTTGGTGCAACATAAAGTTGAGTACTTATGATTAACTTACCTCACCAAAAACTTCAACGTAAAAGCAATTCATTTTTGACTTCGACACCCAAGCAATACCTCCAACAAACCATGTCAAAGCAAGCAAAAAGTTTGCAAGTGCCAAGTGGAAAAGTGGATGAACCTGAAAAATGAATTACAGCACCATCAAAATCTGATGAAATCCCACTGCATGTATCTGATAAGTCTTTGTGTCATTGTGAAGTATGTTAGTCAGTAAATATAGTTCTAATATGTCCACAGTGCAAGACCGATAGATTTAATTTTTCTCACCTCTGAACTGTTAGCAATTTTATTCCATAATGAGCAACTTATGATGGATCCAGTACCGAGTATACTACAAATGATAAAAATTAATACTGAGCAAATACAAAGTTGTGCTATATCGCAAAGGTTTAGCTTTACTTGGTGTCTACAACTCATTATGTCCAAGATGTTTCATACTAGGAACTATGTACTGGCAGGTCCAGTGCTAGGATCAGGGCCATAGCCAGAGTGAGTGGATAACCTTTTTGCAATTGACTGTATACACGAAATAATCAAGGTTTTTACCTTAATAATGATGTGAAAATGTACAGAGATGCAACCACGTCCACCTTTAAATAAAATTATCAATTAAATTATCAATCGTCGCTTGAAAWYCCAGAAAGACCTAGTATTAAGCCTTAACTAAATTAGTTTMGTCGACAAGAATTTGTCAAAGAAAAATTGCTACAAGCTTCACCGTTTAATTTAAAATAATATATTCATGATTTCCGTCTTTAAATATACCTTGCTTTTGTATGGGTCGCAACATAAAGTTGTCATAGGAATAAAAGTGCTATTCGGAAATATTGCTCCCATAAGTTCCTTCACGTTTGCTCCGGACAGCACGTCTGCCATGTTTGTTGTCATGGTCGTGGAGAAGTTCAKGATCTTGTTTTGAAAGTGAAACGATTATTGAAACTTGTAGATTTGGAAACKTTTGAGTTTTTGCTTTCAACAAGAGAGTTGTTGTTGAGTATAGTAGTGTATTACATTCACCATGATATCTTTTGGCGTAATATATTTAAACGTTTATCTTCTACSTGAGCTCTGATGAGATGATCTATTTTTGATAAGCACAGGAAACCCAACTACTTTTTTCGTTCCCAGGGCCTTTCATTTAAAAAAGCGAGCAGGAAGCCCTGGATACAAGGATGACTTTTGCGGGTCGCGGGTTACATTAATTTTTAAATTCCCATCTTCTACAACTATTCAGCTATCCCCTATAGCTAATCCACAAATGCCCATAGCTATTTTTATAACAACCCATTTTTACCTTTTTATTTACGCTTAGAAAAAGCTATATAAAGCGCTATATAAGCTTAGATTATTATTAATTTATAACTTTATTGTCAGATTCTTCATTGTGATGTTCATCTTTTGTCACGTTTTTACTGCTATTTAGTGGGACTAGCTATAATTAGGCCATGGTATAAATGGGACACTTTCTTTTACAATGATGCATTGACCACATGACATTTCAACTGTGATGTGTAACATGGTTTATTTTCAAAACTACCACATTCAATGACATTTCTCTTTCAGAGAAGGAACTGTTTCCCACACAGAACCAATAGCTCTGTTACAAAAATTCCTTAAAGGGAGAACATGAGTGAGCTGTACATTACTGACGATAACGTTACTCTTGGTTGGTCTATGACGGATAACGCTCAACTATCATGCCATGGCCCTAAGAATGAAGAACAAAAATTATTTCAAATATTTCAATTGTTCTGATAAGTAGTCAACAAGGTCATTTTGAGTGGCACAGATAAGACTACTTTCACACATAGATACAGTTGTTTGCGGTTGCCTTAGTTAAGGTCAGTTCTTACAACTCACACATCTTTCTTTTTCACAATATGAGGCATTCCAGTGTGAATATATGTCTAAACCGAATGTTCTAAACTGGACTGCCCCATTGTAAAATGTAGCCTTCACTGTACCAATCTCATTGAGAGGATGTAATAAACATCTATAGGAAACAAAAAGGATGAAGCCTGAACATTTAGGATGATAAAATCAAGGCAATAACTCACCAGTCCTCCGGCAGCACAAGCAGCTACCAAGGCATACTTCCCGCCATTATTGATGAGTCTGTTTGCYGCTGTTGTTACAAGTCGTACTCCTGTGGCACCAAATGGATGACCAATGGATAGTGAACCACCCCATGTGTTAAGTTTTTCCAAAGGAGGAGCACCAACCTTGCAAAAAAATATWCCAACAAATTTTACAGATAATCCTAATCAAAAGGACCCCCCCTCCCTCCCTCCCGTTAAAAAACCCGAAGATACTGGAACTGCTAAGTCTTCATTTAAAAAATGTCAAAAAACAAACAAACAAATGACGCACAAAACAATGTCAAATGATGCAGAGTTCAMGTCATTACCTTTGAACTTCTTCCCATGTAGTTCTGCGAAAACCAGTCAGAGTCCATAGCTTTCATATTGGCTAAAATTTGACCCTGTTGGAAAAATTAAAAAACACCTTTCAGAGATTGCTTGCATGTGCTATCTTTTCTTTGTGTATGTACACATATGTGTGTCAAGTCKTCTTTGTTCACAATGTATGTCCTCAGGGTTGTAAACTTGTTAAGCTGTCACTAATGTAATCCTATCCACCCTTTTACTCTTCAAATTAATAATCCTAGTGAAGGAAAATTACTTACAGCAAATGCTTCGTGATATTCAAATACATCGATATCACTCAKCTTCAAACCAGCTTTCTCCAGGACTTTAGGTGTGGCATATGCAGGCCTGAGAAATATATTTAAAGTATTGATTTAATCATTTACATTCAGMAAAATATTCCACTCAACCCTTACCCAAGAAGCAACTGGTCCTTTGGATCTTGCGATACGTAAGTAAACTCTCTGCAGAGGAA